AAAGCTAAGATTATTCTAAATCTCCAAATTATTTTAAGGATTGAATTTTTAACAAATGAAGGAAAAGAATAAGTTTTTTTAAGATGCTGAAAAATGATTGTTTTGCTTCATTTTTTTTCGGAAAATGATAGGACGAAGTTCCAAAGTAATCAAAGTTGTTTTTTCTCTTGTGTAAAAAAGTATGGTGAACAGTGTTCCATATGCTTTCTACTTTCTTGTGTTATCGCATTAAATGACGCCGTCCTTTTTCACTGGCACCAAAGTCATTCTGCGTGATTTTGAATTATGGAACGTCACCTCTTACCATTTTTTTTTTTTCTAAATATTTATGACAATATGTTGGACTTGTGAAAAATCATTGTTGATATTTAGTCTAACCCACTAATGCCTTCATTGATTTGATCGTGCAGTTTTGTACAGAAATTCAGAATACAAACTGTTTCGTCATATGATATTTCCATGGGCTACTATGATTCAAGATTTGTCTTCATCGGTGTTTAAGCTATTGCCATAAAGCAGTAGTCTCTTTTAATTTTTGATTATTATACAACTGAAAATGGTAAAATGGTTCACTACCTGCTAGTGATTTACAGGGATGACGAATCCATTTGACGCTGATGATTTGCTGAAAAGATCTATATTCAGTTCTATTCTTGGATTTAGTCGTAAGATAAAGAATTCAGGTTAGAGATTTTGTTGAAAAGCTTATCATATTTTGAAATAAATAAAAATGCTTTTTTGAAATTTTTGGTGTAAATCACTGATAAATTATAGCTTTCAACATTACCAACCTTTATAGCAAAGGTAGAATCGGTGAAAGGTGAAAATGCTAATGGTTCGGCCACCAGCATAAATAATGATACTGCAGCACTGGGCGATTTAACTCCATGTAATCCTAAATATCGCACAAAACAGGAAATATATAACGAAATTGTATGCGAATGTGCTGAACTTGAGAAAAATAAGGTTTTTTATAAGTTTCTTTAATTTAAGTCATATCTAGAATTTGAAACAACCAGGATTCAACATCGTTATGAAGGTATAAGTCGTGAAAGTGCACATTTCTCGATACCCTAATTCGTTGCATCACGCACGATTTAATCACAGGTTGCATCAGCTCCGAGTTCAGCACGGATGAGATCCGTAGCATGTTCCACGAACGAATTGATAGATACGGCAATAAATCCATGCAATCCGCATTCGCCGCTGTCAACAGAGAACAATAATAACAAAACCATACAGAATTTAGTTCAATTATTGGTGGCAGCTGTCAGGGAAAGCGGAATCCTCAATGATCAAAGTGGAACAAATTCATCAGAAGACATATTGAAGCGTAAAAGACTACAGGTAGATTTTTCTATGAAGAAAGGAGTAATTACCGCATACAGTGGGTGCTGTAGAAATTTGATAAACTTTCAGAAAACATACGTTAACTGATTTCTAGATAAAGAAAACTACGTATATTATGAAAGTTCAAGAATGAAAAGGAAGAAGAGGGAGAAAACTGCTGCACTAATTAGTGAATACGTATTTTTAATATATGGAAAATAAAATTTAATATGTATGAATTTAAACAACATCTATAATTAACATTTGTTTCATTGAAATTAGCTAGAAGAAATATTTTATTTGAAGTACATGTTTTATGAATATGTGAACTATGAGTCGTTTAATATATCTATCAGTAGTGAAAGTCAAACAATTAGTTAAATGCAATGACGACGGTCCAAATTGCAGCTAACATCAGAAAATATCCCTGGAGTAAATTTTTAGTCCTGTCTTCAACATGTCAACTTCGTCGAGCTGCTTACGTTTCTAATAGTACAGCTCCGAGATGCTCTTTTTTCCTTGCACTCCTGTGTCTTTCAAACACGGAGTCAGTGAAATATAGGTGACAAATATTACAGAATATGGAGTCACAGTTTTCGTAACAATAAATTTAATTTAAAAAATAGGAAAATGCAAACTCGAAAGATGAATTCCTTTATCGGATGTGTGCTTAAGTTCGGACTTGGCAACACGTGATTTATTCTTAAAATATCTGCTGCATAACTGCACTGTTCAGAACAAGAAAGCAGCGATACGCTATCGAAAACGACAAAAGGAGCTCAAAGAAGAGGCAGAATTGGAATTGACAATTCTTGTGAACAAAAATAATGAATTGAAAAACGAAATTAAGCGAATGCAAGCTGAAATCGATCAGTTGAAAGCACGGGTTTTAAAGAGAACCAGTGAGGAATCACAGTCTTTCCGCGAAACATAGATTTACACAACACTCAACTTCCAAAGCTATCGAAAAAAATGGGTACTTCACCACTGCCTAACTTCTCTTGGCTCAAACTCCGTAATGAAAAGAATCTGTAAGTCATAAGCCCTTCCCATTGTACCGTTTTAGTCTCTATAAGAGGCCTCTTGCCATTTTTGTTCACTTTTAATCTCATTTTTTATTTTGCAAAACATCTTTGTCATTCCTTAAGCCCACCTGAACTGGACTTGTACTGACGCTTTGAATTACTTGGAATTTGAAAAATGATTTTATTTACAAAATACACTGTGCAAAATACATTCAAATAATGAAGATGGTACAGCAAAACAGATATATGAGAAAGAGAACAGTTTTTCCAATAGAAGGAAATCTATTTCATAAAAGTGTATAAGCTCAATTTTCTTCACTTTGCAGCTCCAGACTTTCTTCCCCTTCATAAAAAGCTTGCATACCTGTACCAGATGTTTTTTATGTGAACAAATGAAGAACTTATGAGTATCGAATATATAGAATTAAAAGGATTTTTGGGTAATCCGCAAATTTAATTGAAAATACACTTTCTTGCCAACAATACAGCTATTTACTATAAATTGTTATAATAATCTATAAAAACTAACAAAAGGAAAAAGAAACTTGAATGAAGTGTACAAGACGAATAACTTTAAGTGACTGGAAGTATACCCAAATTTAAAAATACTTGAAGTATTCACAACGCAAAGAGATTATATGTAATATATCTAGTCATTTATACTTTACAAAAATTAGAACATACATATTTCTTTATAGTCATGAAACATTCCTAGAAATTTCAAAAAACTTTCTCCACATAATGCAACAGTAAAGGAAGTGATACAAAAAGATCGCAATCGATTCGTAAAAGAAAAAGACATATGAGGACAAAATGGTACAGAAAATAGGAAAACTGTGCACTGAGTTATCCCATCGAACTATCAAAATTCATGCATCACTATCAAATTGGATCAATCACGATGTTCTCCATGATGAAACAAAACTAATGTCATATCTACAGAGAAGTTCGATTAATAAAGTACGGAAAAATAAATATAAGACTGTAGTAAATTATTGTCATTAGAAACAAAAATTTCGATTGAAGAAAATTGGAAAAAACTACAGGAAATGTTTTTTGATAAGCCAAAAACTTTTTAAATAGTACTTTCGACCTATAGAAATCCTTGTCTGCATGTGAAGGATTGAAAAAATGTTCGTCTTACTTTCATATAAGGCATTCCATAGCTATTCATTCATAATTAGTCTGCCAGAGGGCGACAGTTGTATCACTAGAAATATAAGCACTGTAATCTTCTAAACTATGATTTAATTTAAAAGATATTATTAATGCATTCCAGTTACAAAAAAAAATGTTTTTTGATAAAAAAGAAAGATTTTTCTGATTAATGCGGTTTCATATCAATCAAATAAAGTGCATGTGGAAAAGGACTAATAACCAGTAATGAATAGTAATAAAAATGACCTAGAAGCAGTAAAAAGGATGCCTGAATGAGTTGCCAATTCGTTGATCGCTTCTTCATGAGCATGGGAAATCTAAAAGCGCTAAAAACCAAGTTCCCACTACTAGAAATTAAATAATCGCAATATAAATGAAATGAAGCTTACAGAAAAGTGGAGGTATGAAAAGACATAAAGCAAAATATGTAGAATGACCTGATCAACGAGACGTAATTTACGTGTACTTGTAATGTCCCACACTTTTACTCGACCCTCCTTACAAGCTGTAACTAATAAAGGCCTGTAAGCATTGATAATACACATGGATTGAATCCATTTATTGTGTGCCTGTAATTCGATATGGTCTCTCTTCATATCTTGCAATGAGAAACGCATAATGTCCTGCAAAAAAAAGAAAACCATAGTTTTTTCAAAAATCACAAAACATATTAGCAGAAAGCTCCAGACAGTCAAGTGGATAATAATTACCTTGACAGAAAACATAAACCTACAGCATTAAAAAAAAAAAAAACAGGCAGTACACCGAGAATAATAGGAAAGGAATCCAATTAGTCTGATCACAAAATTAAACTAACCGTATCTCTAGAAGCAGAAAATACGGAATCACCATAAGCGACAATGGATGTAACGCAATCATAGTGGGCTGCCGAAAATTCATGAGAAGCTTCAAAAAGACCTAATCCATCAGCATTTATTTCATACATCTTGATATAGTGATCACGAGAACCAGTGAAAATTTTCGGTTTTATACCACCCAAAAATCCAAGGCATGACACCTCTGATCTAAATTCCGGTTATATGAAAAAATCAGTGCTCTCAACAAACCTGTGAAAGAAAATCATTCTCACTATGATTTTGGATTTTTGGAAAAATTTTATATTAGTGTTAAACCAAAATAGCAGCTCGAAAATGTTTAAACTCAATAATGACTACAGATTATTTGAGTGGTTAAAGTTGCCTCGAGCCATGAGTCGCTGCCGATAAGCGACCGAATGGTGCAAACTTTTCCAAATTCCAAATACGGACATCGCTGTTGAAGGTTGTAAACATAAGTCTGAAAAGAAAATACTGCAATAAAATTTACAAACCAATATTAATATTTCTCGTCTGTAATTTCTTCTCTGTAAATCTCAAAACTTTATTTACACTGCGTCGTTGTCCGCATCCACTACATGAAAGAAAAACATTTCACTGTAAAACAATAAAAAAGTTATCACTTACTTCCCCGTGTTGTCCAGTTCTAGTGCATTGATCATCGTTTCGGAAATGGGTAATACAGTTTGTCGAGGTGTATTCGCAGCCATAGTATCACCTAAACAATATGAAAACTGCAGATGTAACTTTCGCGTAAAATACACAAAATAATCTAAAATTGTTAATGAAGTCTAACAACCAGTGAAAACTTATTTGAAGTGTATTAAAAATATATATTAAAACTTAGATTGAATTTTTACATACCTGCAGCAGCGAGACCTGACGAATGCAGAGTACGTACACACTCCTCATTTCTCAAATCCCAAATACGAACGAATGCCATGGATAAAGTCAAAGCTAACTGGCTGGAGGGAATGAAACGTACACATGAAACATTATTGGGATGGTGACCAAACGTACATTTCTCGACACTTTTTTCCAAATCCCATACTTTCGCTGTTCTGTCTTAAGATGAACTATAGATCAATATAATCTCAGACTTTTTTGAAAGCTTCCTGCTACGCTGACATTTTAATAAAGAAATCTAATTTCCAGCAAAAAATTTAACGTACACCTTTCACAATTACCAAACCTTTTGAGCCGCTGATTACCATATCACCATTAGTGTCTACCGAAAGTACTGTTCTAGTATGTCCATCCAAGGTGTGTGTGCGTATTAGTAAACGTGAACCTGTTACTTTATCACGAGTCCCTGTTAATGTCCGAGGAACATACGGTACTACACGGCCGGATTTTCTGAAAAAAGAAACAATATTTTAAAATTACAAAAAAAAAAATGGATTCTACCCAGATTATACGATATAGTACGTATATGGTGAATGTAAATCCGAATTATAAACTACTCTCTTGAACATGCTTTTAAAAATTTGAAATGTAGACCTTCGGCTACCACGACCAGATGGCGACGACTCAGTGGAACCTCGATCATCCAATTCCAAATCCATCAATTTCGTTATTTCATTTTTCGCTTCCATACCAACATTACTACTTACACTATTGAGTTCTAAAGGTCGTCCACCTTCAACAGAATGTTCCAGTGATCTCGCTTTTTCGACTAGCTGTTGGCTTACAGATGAAGTTTCTTCGTTGAGTTGCTCCAAATGCGTTTTGTTAGTAACCTGACCTTGTAATGATTCCTTCAACGGATACAGTAATTCACTTGGTGTAGCTGTACGACGACGAATCTTGTGCGCTGATGCAGGTGGTGATACTGCAGTAATCGCTTACTTTAACCAAAATGTTTTACATATCCTTCAATAATTAGATAAGAACATGATGCAAAAAATTACCTTCAAGTAATTCATCGCGTGAATCCTGTGCTATCTGATTTCCATTCGCCAGTGACCTAACTTCTTCACATTCTCGATATGGAGATGCATCCCTGCTACGATTTTGCTGTTCAGTATTCTTAATGGAGTAACTTCAGTTTTAACTTCAGTTTCGGCTCAGGTTTTAGCACTATGAATTGCAGGCATTTTCTGCACTTTTTTGAAAATAAATATTCAAAATGCGCTTACAGGTCAAAGTGAATTTGGAAACAGTTGAAAAATTTTTTCCATCCTACTACTTCGAACCTCATGATTAAAGTGGAAGTCGTAGTAGAACTTCAACAAATGATATTGGCATTACAACTGATGTGGTATATGTTGGAAATGGTTCTGAAGTTTGTGGGATAAATAAGCAATGTACAACTCACTCTTTTAGCATCCTCCAATGCATGATTCAAAATTACATCACTTAAAATTGATTCGTTTTGCAGCTCTTGAATAAGTGATTCTGCTTCCTGAGAGCATCAATAAATATTGCGGTCTTAAGAAATAAGCTGCAGGAAAAAGAACCAATGCATAAGAATATTTCAGTAAAAAATATTCTCCAAGTAAAAAATATTTAACTGTTAGACTCTACATATGGGAAAGGATTCGTGATCGCATTCGTATTATATAAATAATTCACTATTCATTACCAACCAGACTTCGAAAGCAGGATCTTTCAGTATGAATACGCATGTTTTTAAGATGGAACTTTTAGACTCTGATTGAGAAACTTTGAAATATGTTAAGAAATTGTGTGAAATCATGCGCAGTTAATATGAAATAATTATAAAACTATGAAGATACCCGCAAGACCTCAGAAACGTCTGCTTCTACAGTTGTTCAATGAATTATTAAAATCTACTGTTGTCATGAATATTGAACTAACACAAATACTTAACAGTCTGATATTTCTGACAAAAATAATATTTCCTTTGACTAGTAAAATAAAGCTTCCATCTTTAAAAAACAGTGCCAAAAAAAAGTGCAAAGAAGACTAGTCCCTTATCACTTGTAAAACCAGAACAAAAAAAAAATATTGTAGTTCAACAGAAAAACTAGCACAGTTCATTAAGAAGATTCCAATTTCAGAAAAACGAGATTTTCTCGTTTAGAAGAATATCCCAGGTAAGTAAGTAGTCACTTGGTGTATCTCTATATTAATCATAGACAATTATTGTGGAGTGAAAAAATTATATTTTCAATGGTTCAGGACTTTACTGTATTTTTTTTAAAAGTTTGCACCAAATACTCCTGAGACAACTGCAGCTCAGTTGTTAAGCAGTAGTCATTTTAGTTCTTCAGTACTAGTACCACATTAAAGCTTAATGCGATTTTTTTTTAAAGTAAGCCAAAATATTATGCTAGAATGATTACAGCTAAGTTTCCATGACTATCATTATTCTATAGTATGATGTTCCTAACCAGCAGTTCGAGTAGCCACAGTTCCCTTTCATGAAGGTTACGATCCAATTAATTCCTCCACACACATATATTCAATACAAACACAAATCCACACATAGCGTAATTCGAGTGTTTCTTAGGAAAAATTCTAATAATATATTATTTTTGCAAGATAACGGCGAATTATCCGCAACTTTGGATGATCCCTCAACTAATGCGAACAAATTAAATACCAACCTTTTTATCACTAATAGCTTTAGCTGCAATAAATCCTTGTTCCAAACAAAAACCGAACAAATGGCTGAGAATAATTACTGCCTCACCAATCGACGAACAATTCTTAATTTCCGTTTCGGCATCACGACAAGCTTCCGCATCTTCCATCCCAGAATCCTACAAAGAAAACCTTAAATAAGAGCTTGTACAAAGATATTATGACCGTTAAACAAATAACTAAAATAAGAAAGTTCGGTGTCCAAACTGTTCCAATTTAGAATCAAAGCAGTTCCGAAAAACTCTGTGAACACAACAATACATATGAGCAAGTAATGAAATAAATATAGAGATGATTTAAAATAATAGGGATAAAGCAGTAGCAAATGCTCGCTCAAAAAGGTACGTATAATATTTATATACCTTTTTAGTTTAGTGTTACTTTCGAATTCATCAGAATTTAGCTTCATTGGAAGACCACTTTTTTCGTCTTGATTTGTATAATTAAGAAACACAGTAAGAAAGCAATGGATATAGAGGATAAGTTCAACAAATTTTCAAGCTTATGGCCATTCATTGCATTTGGTTAGCTGGCGGTAAAACGAAGTTTCAAGAAGTGATCTCGAAACACTCATGACCTGAAGCATTTGCATAGGAAAAGTTTCAGACGGCATTGAACCAAACTCCCTTTTTACGAGTGACTGATTCTAAACATAACTATACATGCGCAGTTTACGTTCTCCACCTCAAGTTTATGTTTCTCTATAATTACCGTTAACATTCTAAAATGAAATCATCTGCATATATTATTTTTCCCTTAAACTCGCTTCATTTTTGTTACTAATTTTATTCTTCTTAAAATAAAAAATAATAATTGTGACAATAAAGCAGCAATGAGTAATAACTTTTTGTAGTAAATACAAAGAAGTAAGAAACACAGGAACCAAAAAGTCTTAATCGTTAGAGTGTTCTTCCTACGATTGATTTCGATTCCTTCTAAACTTTTTCTCATGAGGGTAATATGAGACTCATGAAATCGTGGCAATATGACATATGACATACTAAAGAAAACTGCATCGGAGATAAACGCTCAAAGTTTAATAACGAAAACAACACATATATTAGAAAATGAGCCGATTTCTAATTCTAATTGTGACATTAAAATACTGATAGTAAGATTTCTACCTCTTCAACTCGCTTAAATATTGTGAAAAATGGGCTTATTTAGTGCACAGTTAGGGACGGTGTTTGAAATCATCTAATGAAGAAGTCTAATTTAAAAACCACTGCAGTAATTTGACTTGCTTTCATATTTTTTTTTCTTCACATTAGCTCGCGCCAATAAACCTTTGAACAAATTTTTTACCAAGTCAGCTAATTATAATTTCTTCAGTAGTATTCCCAACATTCTCGTTCAAATGTAATATGCTACACAACAATTATACCATTTCACCAAATTATTTCATCTTTACAGTTCATTCTTCTAAGTCGTTTTTGCAATACGTAAAAGAACTAACTGATAATCAATAAAGCTTAGAATTAATCACAGTCACAAATAATTCCCCTTCTCTAACCGACAATAGTTTTAAGCGCTCTCCAACTGTTTTGGGCTTCCTTCTTCATTTCTGATGTCCGTGTTGCAACAACACCTTTCAAAACAGAAGAAAAAACCTTTTTTAAATTAAAAAGTTTTCGTGTAAAATGAAATCACCGTAAAGAAATTCCACCTTATTTCGTACTCTTGTTTAGATACTTCATACATGTATTTGGCTGTAAATGGACATGATATTCTCAACAAAAAAAAAGTTTTCCAAATTAAAAAAAAAGTCAATGATCCCTCATACTTCTGCAGTTTAGATTAAATGCATTTTCTTTACAGCTTTCAGTGCTCGATTTTATGCTCATATTACCTCCTTCCTCATATTTCTTAATGAAAACTATTCATTAAAAACAAGGATATTAAGAGAAAAAATATTGATCGAAATACTTGAATATTGACAGAATTTAGGTTTTTCCATTCCAAACCATTATTTCATCCTTAATAACTGTAATCTACTACAAAACTAAATGTGGCATCGAGTTGAAGTATTCTAGATTAGACAGGAAAATAATTTAAATAGGTAATTAGTACAATATTTAAGGCTTCAAAACCAAAATAAGTACCGCCACTAAGGATGACCGAAGTAATCGGTTAAAAAGACATTATAAAACAGTTAAAAATAAAAAACAACTTCTGCCTGCACTTTAGAAATGTTTATGTTTGACATTTGGAGATGTATGATTTTTTTTCTGTGATCTAGAAAGTATTTATCGAACATTCCTTCCTTCTATGACATTCGCCCGTAAATTTTCAAGGAAAACTTTTACGAACTCGTCATTTGAATGTGTCACTTTATTCGCCAGCTTTACTTCAGTTCTTTTCCAGTTGCAATTATTTGATACTGCGCATCCCTCAACCTTTTGCTACTAATTCCACGTTTACAGGGCTCAGCAATGGAAATGTCTATTTCAGTTAGTTCATATCACAGAAGAAGCTATCAAAGTTTCGGAAAAAAGTCATGTTGACAGGGATGCCGAAAAGAAAGTGCAAAAATGTAGAAATGATAGACTGAATAGGTGTAAGAAAATGTACATATTTTCATCATAAATTATTATCAATGACGTAACTTGATTCGCTGATAACTGTGTATCATTTTTCACAAACAGAAGTACTTCCATTCATTTCATTACATGAATGGGAAATGGCAACCTCGAGAACTGCAGTAATCAATAAAGGCAAATAAGGAGAAGGGAGCGGAGTGTAGGGGTGATCTTTAATCGCTGTCAACTTAACTCGGACTACTTGCTGATTGATGACTCAACACTTCAACTTTCTCGATCACATATTACATCGAGACAGAACGATATGTGAAACAAAGGAAACAAACCTCCCAAAAGTAACCGGCTGATATGAATATAAGTTGCTTTAACAAAGCAGACCGAAGAGACAAGACAGGTAATGAATGGAATTCTGGGTTGTAATATTATAAAAGACACTGTTCAGGTGATGTGATTGGTAACACAGAATTTCGTTTTCTCTAATGACCAGGATTTCCTTTGACAGCGCAGATTTGAAATACTGTATTTAAATTCAGGAATATTTAAAAGTAACAAATTCCTATTCACTCTTTTACGTTCATTTATTAATAAGCAATGAAATAAATACTTGTAAATAACAACAAATACGGTACTGTTAAAACCCCTTAAAACTCCCTTGCACATAACGAATTCCATGGGTAATGTTAATTACTTACTCTAGCGAATTCATACTGTTTATATTCCTTATTTTGAGTTTTTTTTTTCTTCGACCAGCTTTCATCTAATTTGTTGACGAGTTTACAACAGTTAGCGGAAGTCTTTTCGGAATATTTCTTTATTCATCATTATAAAAGATACTTGTTTTTTTTTTTTTTTTTTTTCGGTTCATCAAGTTACAAATAAATTCCAAGCTCACTGAATTGATAGGCTTAAGAAGTTGACTCATACGAGAATAATGAATAAGTTTCTATAACTAAAGGATATACTATAAATTACAAATATAAACAATCTATTATAAAAATGCAACAAACTATTACAAACAGAATTCTTGTTAACAACAAACCAATCACAGTGCTGGAAGCAGCATTTCCTACTACTCCAGTTTAATTCTTTAACTTGCTGACCTATTCAGATAAAACACTGTATTTTTTAACCTACCTTCTCTTCCTCTTCGTTTTCCTTATTTTACCAGCTAAAAAGTGTTTGACTAACACAATTTTTTACGCCTGAGGGATCAAATCTTTGTTTCCGATTATAGCACTCTCCTTCAGTCCTCTTATAACCTCTTCTAAATATCAGTTTCAAGTATCTCTCCTACCAGCTGAAATAGGAAACTAATCAGATTTTTTAAAGGTTTATTGATCCGGCAATACTTTTCTATTTATGCTAAATGTAGCTCTCTAGATGTAAATAAATATGTTCAAACAACAACAGTATCCCCTACTATTATAACGATATACTCAGAAAAACAATCAAATTATTTTTACTTTTACTAAGAAGATAAACGGAATTTTTGTTGCAAGTATCTAGAATTTTGGCTTCAATTAATGGGGCTTTCCGAAGCCGAAATTAAACGGACTTTCGAGTTGTGATGATCCATTTTATTTCGTTTAAACCGAATTGCTTTGGCTTTTGATTGACAAATTTCACCCTTCCCTTTTCTCTTTAATTTACTGAACTGAATCATTCGCAGTCTTCCCTAGCATTAATGAATTGTTGATGCAACTTCATTTCATTACTCATAGGGCTGAGATGGGTGTTTATGAAGTAACGCTTGCTGCTTCGTTTTTTCGTGGATTGGACATTGTGAAGTGGATTCCAATTGCTTCTAGGGAGGTGTGTATGCTAAACTCGTACGATGGCAGATTTAAAACATTAGTAATTCGTAGTTGTATTGAATAATGTTGGAATAAATTACTTAGCAATAATGCATGAGTTTCTTCCTCTTCTTCCACAAATTTCGATCTGTTGGTTTTTCATTTAAAAAAAAATTGATTCTTTATGTGGACTGTTCTTTAATTCTCTGATCTTCGGATTAAGCTGATACACTGTTAACGCAAATTTTCAGTAGTCAAAATCAAGAGACACTCACAAATTATTAAAAAAAAAAAAAAAAAAAAAAAAAAACAACTTCATTTATGATAAATATCAAACCTACACTGAATAATTTTGCCACTTCGTAATTATGATCTAGGATGACTTGACTTTTATATCCACAATGTTTTAGAGGTTCTAAATAGAGGTTCGCCTATTTCCTCTAAAACCAGAAGATCAACAAATTTTCGGACAAAAAAGGGTTCTGCACATGAGAATTATTAAATGGCAGCCCAGTACATATAACCTTCATATGGTTACGGATTGACAGGGGAATTATATATATTAGCTTAAACACATGAGTCCAAAAATGAAAAATGTACAAATGCCGTAAATACTAAGGCAGATCTGTTTAATAGGAAATATTTTGGAATTTTAATGAGAAATCAAACAAATTATGAAAAGCTGATTTCCGTGAAATAGACTACCTGTTGTTCAACTGATGAATTTTGATTTTAATAAAACAAGACCATCTTTGAAAGCAAAACATGAGAACCTATAAAGATGGAAAAAGAGTACTTAAATCACTCTTAACTACAATTTGGTTTTGTTCTCCGTCAGAAATTTTCGGACAGTTAAGTAATCCTTTTAAGCTTTGGGTTTCTCTACTAAAAATAAAGCTATTTTACTGTAATATGCAGTCCTTATGTGCAAGTTTCTGAACTGCACTAAGTAACATCCCATTAAAAAGATTTTCGTTTTAGTGAGAAGAAAATCTTCAGAATAAAAATGCATTTCATGCATTTGTTGTAGCATTTCTCATAATGTTAAAAGGTAAGTCATTTTATTTCCAACTACTTTCTAAATTCCACTTAATCTGTAGTTTTACAATTGATGAGTCTATGCTTGAATAAAAAGGATATATTCAGTCCAAGGAGAAGCTATACAACCTAATGATGGCTGTAAAACAAAGAATTGATATATGCTCCACAGACTCATTTTCACTCCCTCTCAAATAAAGAATTTCACAAAAATTTTCCACTTCGCTATAATTTCTCGATGCATTTTAGCTTTGTTTGCCCTCCCAACAAAAAAAAAAAAAAAAAAAAAAAGTTACGCAAATTTTACTTTTAAAGAAAAATCTGGAACTACCATGTTTGAATTAAATATTTCAAAACTAATTTAATCTGCAATCCGCCACAGTATAGATGAAGTAAGAAACCCTCTGCTATCTAGCTCATTATTCAATCCTAAATTATATTTTTTAATGGAAGTCAAGCAGATTAGTTATAAATACAAAAATTATCTTCCTGCTTGCCAAATTTTCTGAATTAGCATAAAGATGCAGTGCACTGTTTTTCGTAAAAAAAGAGAAAAAAGGCTTGAAATAATATTAAATATTTTTTGCTCAGTAATCGCTCTAATTGCTGTTAAACAATTCACCAGAATGCGTCGAAGTTAAGACATGATCGACACTGTCGTGTTTTCAAATTTTAAATGAAAAAGAACTCTCAAAATAAAACTGAGTCCTAATCTATTCAGAATAACGGATAAGTTGACTTTAATCGAATCAGTTGTTAATTACTAACAATCAACAAAAATAAGTTGTGAAAAATAATTACGACTGAAACTAAGTAATACAATCTGGATGTTGGAAACAAACAGCAATAGTATTATAAGCAGTAGGAGGGTGTGTTTTGGTTTTAGCCTGATGAAAGAATGAGCGGAAGTGTAAATACAGGAAAATAGTCGAGGTATGGAACAAATAACTCTCTTGTTATCGGTGTTGTTGATGAAATGAAGTAACATAAACTTAGACAATTAAAACTTCTCTTACAAGCTCTATTGCATATTCTCTGGCTCTACCAGAGGATTGGAATGAGAAAGAGATGGAATAAACGGAGACGAAAAGAAAGGAGAAAACACTGAAAAGTATTAGTCTGGTCTTGCCACGGTTATTTCTTTTGGTTGCTGGCTCTAATGAAGCGTTATTTTTATCAAAAACACTATTTCTTTTCTAAAACCTCACCTAAATTAGAACTGTTTAAAGAAAACTTCTCTTGATTACTTGGGATTTTCATCCATTTCAAAATAAATTGCTCAAAAGTTATAAAAACAACGCATTCTACTTTACATTCTTCTTTCTTCAAAAAGACCCTCCTTCTTACCACTTTTTAAATGCTTGTTCACTATGTCCATCGCTTTTCAAAGCCTACTTAAATTATATATCTAAGGTGTCAATTAAACCTTTCGTCATAAATTTCATCCAAATGCTTACAGAGCTCTTCGTCTCATAATTAATTAAGTTCTATAACTGTGAAAAAAAAGCAGTTGGAAATGACCTCAATAATCCTGTCCTACAAATCGCTACTGCACCGCATAATGTTTCGGGTACCTTCAATGAGCTTGCACACAAGCAATACCAACTAAAAGTTTTCCACATTTTCAATAATTAGTTTTTTAGTGTTTGCGGTATTAACATGGACAGATTTTTTTCAACCATTTCATTTGCATCAATGATAAAGCAGCTTTATTTAACGATAGAAAAAGACTCCCCATTTTACCTGAAACTGAGCAATAAACAGATGAAGATTTTTATAAACTTACTAGCTTTTTTATTACAAATGTATTGAAGACAGTTAAATACTACACGTTTCCTAACACATCCAGACCCATTACACATTTTTGTATAAAAAAGTCTTGCAAGATCACTATCATCCATTTATTTATTAACAAAAAATTTCAAACCATTCAAATTCGAAAAAATATGAATCTTCTGTTCGCATCTAATCTTTTTGTAAAATGACACATTCTCGACTTTCAGCTTCTGGGAAAGCTATACTGTTTCCTTCTTCATCAAGTTTCTCATTTTAATATATGTGCAACCAATTTTTTAAATTATTTTTTGACCGTAACTCCAATTAAAGAATGATCCCACCACATTCCCTTTCAAACAGTAGTGAATCCTGGATAATTTATTAAAAAATTTTGTTTTTTTGTTGTTTTTCTCCAATTCTCAACCAAGCATTTTCAAATTATCTTTTGTGCTGTTGTATTAACTAACAAAGTTTCATGCACCAATATCTCATGTAGGTTGCTAGGCCTATCCTATTACATACCACTTTTTTCTTTAAAACCGTTATTAAGGAACACTATTTAAAAATTGCAGTTGTATCTGAAGCATTGCAGATGTATTTTCGGCAATTGCAGATGTATTTGAAGCGAGACCATCGTAAGCAACGGCAGTAAACGGTCTCCTATGTCCCAAGAATACCGAAGATCAAGTACTGCAGTGAAAGTAAATTAATTACTTTTTTCTTTGTTTTGAAATCAAAAAATTCATAAACGCTACTAAAAACAAATCTATGTACTGTCTTCCTGAAGATATAAGACTAAAAGTTTTAGCTGATATTTTATCCTTCATCATCTTAATTATCTCTAGCCACTAAAACTAGTAATCCAAAAAATGAGATTTTTTCATGCTAACAATATATATATATATATATATATGTATATATATAAACAGAAGGTTTCAGAAGTGTTTTAGTGGTTCAAAGAAATTTTTTTCCAACCAACAAGTAATATCTTCACAATAACTACTCAAAACAAAAAAAAAAAAAAAAAAAAATCCAGAAATCAATATTTAATATTTACAGACTGGTAATTAATTTTAGAACAGATCCCTAAGAAAACTTTCTTCTTACACTACCAAATCTAACAAACATTTAGTGTTTCAGTTATTTTACTTCTATTTATTCTAGCAAAACTATTACGGGGAAGGACGTGGCAGTCATTGCAGCGGAACCATAAAAATACCGCTTCAACATACAATCAGCACGCGCAAACGAGCAAATAGAACTTCACTGGGTGGACAGGTTATATTTTTCCGCTTTCATTATCATTTAGCCAAAATTTTAATTAATCGGTCCTTAACTAGTGAAGATAATGCAGAGAGCATACAATATTTGCCAATTGTGTCCCAACTTCTTTTATTCGCTTACTAAAAATTTGGAATTTAAATTAAAAACATAACACAATCTCGAAACTGAATTAAAGTTCTAGTGAAACCAAAAAATAGAATTAATTTCCAAACAGAATTGAAATTTCAGTCTAAAGAAGAGATTCGTATACCAAATTAAGTTCTCTATTTTCCCATAACAAATAGTGTTTACCATTCGATCATGCAAACTACAACTTTTTAAGCTTTTCCTCTGCATGATTGGATCACTACTCAGCTTCAGCATATGCATATGGCTAACAGTGTTCAGTCAAGATGTTCAGTGGAGAAGATTACTATTTGCTGCTGGTGCTGCACTGTGTGCCTTTTTATTTGCTGTACTTGCAGTGCAAACAATGAGAAAGGCGAAACGGTCCACTTTTTTTATAAGTTTGAAACATACTAAAACATGTCCCATCGTGCTTCGAAGCTAACTTTTTTTTTTCCTTTCTTATTTAACCATAAAGAACCTTAGAAATTTAGAAAGAAATTTAGAAATGTAAATACAGCACAAAAAAACGAGTAGAGATAGTTATTTCCAAAGCAAGGGAATATTCTCGGAAATATTCTCGATACACTGCAAGGATCATGCATTCCCAACCACAGACTTCCTACACATGAGGTCAAATACAACGGCTTAACGACAAGCTTATACACTTTTGGTAGGGATATATGCTATAACAACAAAAACTACAACATTGACATTGAGTAATGCAACAGTTCCGATAATTAAATATTCATGGCTTAGTCGGAAATTTCATGGATAAAAAAAAAAGTTAAAATAACTTCGCCATCACGAAACAGAGGTCAACAACCAAAACACCGTTCTGACTGCACAAAAAGGAGGATAAAAATGAAGTAGAATCTATATTTAAATTTCGAATCTTGTAATACTTACGCCTTTCAGATCACTCCCAGAAGTAATTATACCGAATTCAGCAGCTCGACGCTCAACTATTGTAAGGATATCCAGGAAATCAATGTGTGAAAGCAATCTGAGTCAAGAAGAAAGTGGTACTAGCAATTCGCAACCTCTGAATTCAATACTACAAGAAGCTACCACGATGGTCGAATGAACTTCATCACTTGTACTTAATGTTTAAAACATGTTTAAGAATAAAGTAAACAGATTTACAATAATCCAGAATAAAGGTAAACCGCTCATCGCAAACAGTGAGGGTAGCCATTTCAATCTAACTGAATAGCAATAACAAGCAGAAATTCTTTTCTCTAAAATGTAGACAATGAAATAAATCAAAATACCTTCAATATTAAGTAGCTTCCCACTCAGAAAACGAAGCTATATCCAGTCATCCAAATAGCCTTTCTTCACTCTTTGATAAAGCTTAAACTTAAAAATTTTAGCTGGGTTAACAATCAGACAGTTCAATCATTCTCCCACGCATTCGTTGTTTAATTTTTTTACTGGTATTGCAATATGGTTTTCACCACGCTTCGTCCGTTAGTTTTATTTTGTCGCTGATTAGTTAAGGATCTGATAGCCTACTTGTCCTTAATTAGACAAAAGTGATGTGTGGCAAGAAGGCCCCATTACTAATATTTTATAAATTCTGAAACCATCATTAATGTATATCAGTGCTGAAAATGTTTTCCTTATTACCAAAACAATTAAGCTGTTTATCACTTCTATTTTTACATAGTTTGGATTTCCAAAATCGGCACACACAATTCTTTCTACTAAAAGTTGATGCCAGATTTGTGTAGTTACATAACTCAGTGCTAGCTGTGAATACAGAGTCACAAGCGACTTTTGTCTCCAATTTTTTTTTCGTGCAAAAGTGAAATTTTTGAAGCTATTTTAACACATAACGAAGTTTGATCTGAGGTTAGGATTACGCTCTTAAACAAATGAGACCGAAAATGTGGGTTAGTTTAGGACAGCTCAAAAAACTTGATTATCAGTTGCAAACAGATGAAGAAAAAAGTTTTTAAAACATCAGTGCACACGCATACAGATGAAATTTAACTAATAAAAAACTACAGAATTCGTTTTGTCACGTTTTGCGGAAAAAAGTCTTGGGACTATCTCCCGTCAGGGGTGAGAACTGTAACAAAATCTACAACATTTACTAGCTAGCTATGCTTAAGGAAAAATTCTGTTCAAATCAGTTGTAAGTTATGCAGGTTAAATAAAAATAAAAATAAAAAAAGACATGTGGGCAGGAATACTTCTATCGAGTAAACAAACTTGAATTGAATGGAAAACGCTTAGCTTATGGATGTAAAAATATGGGATACCATCAGTAATTTAATGATTACATAACCCTGCTATCTTTACAACTGTCATCCTATGAAACTTACGAACAAAAATAATTACTAAAATCATGTTAAGACATCTTGCTGAGATAAAACCCGGAAAAGACACTAACTTTCTCAGTGTCGATACCGGCAATTGTATTTCTCAATTCCGTGAATTGTTCCTGAACATAGCGCATCTTCGCATAGCAACCATCAATGTGTTCACCAATAAGATCCCTTTCAGCCAGATCTTTCGCCTTGATAAATTGTTGTTCCTGATGGAATGTATCACATAAGTCTACTTAAGATTATCACACTGTCTTTAAAAAATTATGCTGTTATTGCTTACCCTGTTTTCGTCGGTAGATGTTTAAATTCTAGACAAGTTAATTTATTAAGCAAAAACTTTCATTCGAGACCGAATTTCTATTAATGATATAAGTTCTATTAGCAAAACGAATAAGCAAGCAACGTCGGTAAAAACTGTTAATCCTCAATGCAAATCTTTAGTTTCCCTTCTAACATGAAGCACATGACGAAATTAAATTCTGAAAACATTTTCAAAAGTGTATAACATACTAGCCGTTGAATTTCTTCAGCTAGAATACGTTTCTCAGCTACAATTTTCTCCAGTTCGTCTTCCATCTTGGTGACTGCCTGACGCTGACTGATCCTGCGACGTATCTGTAATATAATTGTAGAAATTGAAAACATGTTTCGATAAGCTGCAAAGTATATTTTATTACACAGGAAACAAAGTTACACAATCTGAAAAACTCGCATTTTTTACAATAGCCATCCACTTCGCTTTCGCCTTGTTCACCTCCAGTTTCGTCAAAGGGACTGTACCACAACCTTGACGCAGTGATGCAGATCGCATGTTCCGCTGTGTTCCACTTCGCTCAGTTTTACGATCATAAGTACTGCGCTAAAGCAGTTCTTATTTTATCACTAGAACTATTCATAAAATACACATTCAGTATAAAAGTTACTCATCTAGTTACCTGACGGACCTGCTGGCGCAAGCGATTAACTTCGTCGGTTGATCTTTTTAGAAAGTCTTCTCGTTGACGATCTTTGTTTTGAAGTTTTTGGATTAAGTTATCTTTCTTCCTGAAATTTTTACCTTAGTGATGAGTGCAACTCATTATACTGAGAACACAGTAAAAGAGTTTTATGGAATGATGCAGTAGACCAACAGAGAGAAAACAGCAGGCAAAATTAGGTAAATACAAAAATAGAAGCTTGACAGAATCATATCAATAAAATAACCTAGACTCTTTTTCTAAACCAGCTAGCTTCTTCATGTTTGCTAATTCAGTTGCTTTAGCACGCCTGGCTTCTTCTTTGATTCGCTGCATCAATTGAACCTGCATCACACATAAATCAACTTCCAGTGTCGGTGTATAGGGATGAGACAATTTAAGCTGATCAAAAGGTTTAGGAACCGGAGCTTTAGAAAACAAAGATAACTAGGCATTCTAGTTTTTTCTAGCGTAATAGATAGCTAGGCATAATTCTAGATAACTAGGCATTTTGTGAATGAAAAAAAACTCAGCAAATTTCAACCACCAGTTAAATCTACCTTTGTTTTCTTTAATTCATTTAATTCATTCCTCAACCGTAAAAGCTGTTGCTGCTCTGCAACTTGTTTTGCTTGCATTCGACGATGTTCACGTTCAACAGACTGCAACTTCCTGAATTCATCGCGCATTGCAGTTAGTTTCCTTTCATAATCTTCACGAATCTTGCGAACTTGTTCTGCATCAACAACTTTCTGTGAATGTTTTGCTGCTGAAAAACATATAGAGGAAATAACATCTTTACGAAGACAAAAGACTTGGTACAAACATTTTGTGAAAATAATTCCAATTAAATTATAAAAATTTTATATAACGCAGCAGCATGCAACAATATTGCAAAATCCAGCTAAACCGCTCCATTAAGATGAGAATTTGAATAACTGTTTCATTTAAGATGTGGAATGAGACATGTGTCCTACATTCCACATGGCTACATATTCACTCACCTATTTCAGCCAATACTCGATCGCGCTCTATTTCCATTTCATTTATCCGCAACGACAATTCTGCCAACTTCTTCTCATACATGATTTGCACCGTAAATTCAAATTTTCAAGATGTGATATGTATAACAAGACATAAGACATATTAAGAGTTATAAAATGACCAAAAAACAAATAATTCAGATTCTAAATGAAGGAAAAGAGTACAAAACCTCGGCAAGGCGACGCTCACTTTGCTCAAGCTCAATGACTAAGCGCTCTTTGATCGATATTTCCGCCTGTAAGTCGGCGAGATTGTCTCTGAGTTTAAAACATTCTATAAAAAAGAGAGTAAAAAGTCACCAATCTCAAGACAATAAAAGTGAGAAAAAAAATTCGGAAGTATGAGAACAGTATGTGTGAAAGCTGTAAACTTCAACAACCCGAGAAATACTTTCGACACTAAATTCGCAATGAATGACGGAAATCTACAACGATAACAGAACATCACCTGTTTCTGCTTCATTTTCAACTTCGATATCTTCGTCATCTTCATAGTCCACCTCAAAGTCATCCATCACTACACTAGATTTCATCACATCATCCGCATTTATTTTCGCTTCATCATTATTTATCTTCTCCTCTTCAAGTGAACCTTAACTCCAAGAAATAAAAAGTAAATAATACCTAATGAAGATAAACTTAGAGAAAAAAGTTAGAATTATAAGAAACGGAGAATGTCCCGATCAAGCTTACTTTCTATTATACTTTGTTTCATACGCTTAATATCCGCTTTTGCTTCCTGGATCAGTGAGAAAGTTGGAGTGGATGCTGTGACTCTTTCCGCATTATTACCCGATGAATTGCTGATAACAGCAGCACAGTTGACTAAATAGTCTACATGCATTTTTGGCGTATTATTCGCTGCTATCGCTTTCCAGCGATTCATTTGCTGGTGCAATTGCTCATTTGTTGCATGTGATTCCATTAATGCGCATCTAAATATTTGTCTTAATGTGAATAACAGTCTGTAATTTGACATATATACTGGATGAATGATATTAGAGGTTTTTTTTTTCTCAATTTCATTTCTAAAAGATTTGAAAGGAAAAAGGAAAACATTACCTCAGAGATTCAAGTTCATCAATGTATACGCGCACTGCATTACCAAATGCATCACCTTCTTGTTCTCCTACTTCGTTAGTTGTACTTTCTACAAAAACAGTTCATGACTTTTCATCATCACTGAACTTATTCAAATGTGTGCTTTCTTAAACGCTTACCAATACATACTTGCTGATCATGACTGTCCGAAATACGCATTCTTGTACATCCTTCATTTTTTTCAGCTAACAGCTGGACATTCCGAGCTCTTAGCATTTCAACCGTTTCTTGTAAAGCCTTGATCCGAATTCTTAATTGACTTACATCTGCCTGAAGCAATGATTCAAGTCACTTTAGCAATAAAATGAACTCTAATAACTTTAAATTTAAAACAATAAGTTGTGAAAAAAACTTTTTTTATTCTCAACATTTCACCATACTTAAAAACATATCCCCGAGAATGTATTAAATTCACCTTTTATAAAGCCTGAATAAAGCTTCCACTGCTAATTTGGCATCACAAAAATGGATACCAATAACTTCCCTTAATTTGAATCTTCTATCCACTAGCTATTTATATATCAAACCTGTAACAAAACGTTCTCTCTATACTGATCGTTGAAGGACTCAATACCATCTGAAACTATTATTCGACCCTGCAAAATATGTGATTGACTAATCTTTTAGAGGTATTCACAATATAAAGTAGGATGCTTTATTTTTTTTTTTTTAAAAAAAAGAAAAAACTATGTTAATTTGACCACTTAAATTCATGAGGGTTGAAATACACAGCAGCACTATAAAATAACCTGTTTAAAGTCTAACAATTCGGCCTCTAATTCGGCTATGCGTGAGCGCAAAGTTCCAATTAATTTGCTTGACTTATCCTGATTTGCTATAACCTAAAAAATCTAACTGCACAGGTGCATCATATTCTAAATTCATAAATTAGTATAAATAAATCTTGTTAAACTGAAATAATAAAATACCTTATTTTTGATATCTTTTGCTCGGTTAGCATATTTCAGGGTATTTAGTGTTTCTACGTAATCGCAATCCGATGGACTGATACAGGCAATCATTAAAGTTCGACTAAAAACCGCCATATATCATACTAATATACTGATTTCATTTTACTAACAAAAAGCGTGTTATTCATGAATAATTTTGATCATGACCTGTTTCCGCCAAGTGAATCTTGGAGAAGACGAGTTAGCTTTGAATCTCGATATGGTATATGCACCATTTTGTCCACTGCTGTGGGTGTAGTTAAAGCGCATATAACATTACCCAATGCTAACTGGAATCAAAAGAAATATTATGCTTGACATAATATTCTTTTCGATATACAGCCCTTATCGACAAGAGTAGAAAAACAATTTTTTAGTTTTGCATATTAAAGAAAAATAAAGGAGAAGTTAATACCAATCCAAAATTGATATTAATCCCTTCTTTAATTCGATCACCAGTAGCACCGGTGCGTTTTAAACGCTCCGAACCAGCCAAATCAACGAAATGAAACTTGGCACTTAGAAGTTCCAGCTCAGTCGCAGGAGGATCTTCTGATGCAGAAGTTTCGTCACCTTGTTCAACAGTTTGCGGATCAAAACACGGCTGAAACCAAAAACTTTAAATTGCTAGACATAAAAATCTAGTGGAGAGCATAAATGCGAATTTAAATGTTACTAAGCTAAATGATGTACTTTGACAACAACAGTCCGTTGTTGTTTAATTATCACTGTGAAAATGGCATGTGAACGCGATGATTGTTCATTCATATTGGTTGACGCAGTTTTTCGATTTAGTGCACCATTTTTCAAGACCTCCAGTGTCTAAAATCGAGGAAACCATGAAATTCATATCTTGAAAAACATCCTCACATTTCATCAATTTCATCAAACTGTGTAATGCACTAAAGTAACAGATAACATAAAAAGGCCTTGTTCTAAAAGTACTTTGGATAGTAGTTTTAAAAACTGATTTTAACAAGTCATGGTAGAGTTCAAATGTTATTAACCTGTGAGGGACTTGTTACTGTAACTCGTGTTACACCATTTAAGAAGATTTCTCCCTTCGCATCTTCGTGAATACGAAGGCCTGTAGGTGATCGTTCATGGCTTAATAAATCAATTATATCTTCATTGTACAACTGAAAAAAAGAGTGCTTTGATTGGAAAAATATGGATTAGTCGAATGATGGATAAATCGAAAAAGCGGAATTGAAGGTGAAAAAACTTTTAATTTGATTTGCGCTTTAAGAAGCATTTCTGTTTAACGTACCTCAACAAACTGTGCAACAATGTCAAAACAAGGCTCTACGAAACCTTGCTCTAAAGCCTGTTGTTTGCGAGAGTCCATTCCAGAAAACAGATGCCTAATGGCGCGTGGCACAATACCCACATCGATTTCGTTCATTACATCCATCATATCAAACGCTGTACCCATCGTATAAGTTTTACCACTGCCAGTCTGTAACACATTATATTACACATTATACTTGGAAGTTTATGAATTCCATGCATACTTACAAATAATCACGCATTCTTACAGAAACAAACGAATGTGATAAATCTAGACAGTAAGCAAGTGTCACAAAAAACACCGTATCAGCACAAAATTAATGAAACTGAAATGAGGCAGCACTAGACAGTAATAAATGTACTTGGTCAAATATTTCTACAAAATGAGAAACACACCTGACCATAAGCTAGAACGGTTGCATTAAAACCTTCAAAAGTTCCTTCGATTAAATTTTTAACACAATCATCATAAATTTTTTGCTGATGAGTTCCAATATCAAATGCATAATCAAATGTAAAGCTTCTTTCACCACCAATCGTTATCTGTAAACAAGACAACAATTGACAATTTATGCAAATAAACTTTAATAAGTCAGCTATTGCATTTTACATATGCTATGAAAATGCATGCTAGTGCAAGCAAATTTGTGCAGTCCGGTACCTGTGCTTCTTTTTGTAAAACATTTGTACAAACGTGACTGTTTTCAACTTTCTCTCGCTCAGATTGCGGTCTCACCCTGCAAACAAGTTAAAGGAATGCTGAAAAATGAAACTGAAACAAATGACACACGCTATTTCTTACCTATTTCTATCTTTTCATAGCGGTTTCGTTGCTAATTGCCCTACTTCTGTAGGTGTAAATAAAAAGACAACTTAGCAGTATTTTGAGTTGTTATAGGAAATTAGGCAGAAATTTAGCAAGAGTTCCTTCAGCATTTCAGCCTTCAACAATAACAGTGTGGATAAAATGTTAGGAAATATCACCTTACTGCAACGCGCACACAACTTGAGTCGTCCATTTGTGTGCAATCAGCTTTTTGTTAGTACTGAAAAGTGTTTTGTAGTACTGAAAAATGGCAGTTTTTTCGTATTTGAAATTGTTTTCTGACAAACTTAAAGTCCCGTCACTTATTTTACAATTCAACAAATGGATTCACGAGTTTTTTTTGACGAAAATAGAAGGAAAGAGTTGGATAACTTCCCAGAGAAATATAAAACGAATGGACAGAAAAAGGAATGTATAAAGAATATCACCAGCGAAATGTTAACCACAGATTATAATGAGAATTAGCGAAACACATCTATAGTTTAACTAGTTAAGTAAATGTAGCGACAAAGAATTCACATCTTAACCACTCCATAACGATCATACTACAACAACGCGCTATACTAACCCTTATATTATAAAATACGGAAATATGATAAATAGGAGAATAACTGGCCAATAATCCTTTTTTTTTTTATTCTGACCATTATCCAGCGTTATTCGAGGGCCAACAGTAAGGCTGTAAATGAAGAGAGGGAGGAATTCTCCGGTTCGCAACATTGCTGTCGCTGTGTCCTCAATCTGACCATAGACAATGCAATGGCTACTCTGATTACTTTGGTCACTCTGACAACTCTTCCTCCTACATACCCTGTCCTGCTCTATCTACCACCCTCTGATACTGCCATTTCCCTCCAATTAAAGCTTTCTCGTCACCTTTTCCAACCAGGTATTGTTGCTGTATCTATTAAACTTTCCACGACGTTATATTTTGCAAACAACAATACTTCTCGCTCATCTTCAGGGTTCATTATATTTTCTCTTCTCACACTTCTCACCCAAATGGTGAATACGATGGAGATTGTAATGACATCCATGATGACTCTCACAGCACTGTAGCGAAGAACTTCAAAAATCATCATTGTCATTTCCCAATCTCTCGGCAAAATGAAGCTGTCCTTTCAAATAACCATTTTCATCGGTAATGACATAGTTACAAATGGGACGTATTGCAGAATGGGATTCATCGGGGTCTAATTCTAGCTATTAGACTATCATCAGTCGATGAAGGAAATGTTTTCAAAAATTTCGAGACGATTTTACATTCGCAGTGGATGACCACTCCGTCATTCCTGTCCCTTCAATGAAAGATAATGAAAGAATTGAATTTGACTTTTTTTGTCGTTATTTGGGTATTTGGCTAGTGTACTTTGTGAACGTAAAACTTCACTTTCTTCAACGGATCTGACAAAGTAAGGCTGAGTTAAAATAGCGCAATAACAAACAGAGAAAACATCTGTTCATTTCATTCAGGAAATTTTACGAACATAAGAAGGATATAAAGGATAAAGGAGACAAAAAAAGAAAAAGAATGTATGACTGCTTAAAGTAAATTATTTTATGACAGCTTCACATATATTTTATGCCTCTGATTATGAAATAGAATTAAGAGTTAATAGAAGGAACAGTACGTTAAAAGTAGCGCTGTCATCATTGATTAATAAACACGATGGAATGAACGTATTTTGCTTACCTAATAAACAGTCATATATAATAATGCATAATAAGACCACAATGTTTCAACTAATTCTGATAAATAGAAATTTCCTAAATCAACTTCCAGTCTTAATAGAACGTTATAGCAGCTAAAATGGCGGAAAAATTACTCCTTCAATCTGTAATACCACCAAGAGAAGAAGGACAAATGGTCTAAAAACTAAAAGTGAAGATATACAGACACGAAGAGACAAATGTTCACTGAATGATTTGATGAGCACTGAAATATCAGCGAATCTTTTATAAGTGTGACGAGTACTTACAGAAAATTAACGTTAAAAGAACAATTACGAAAGCAAAATTATTTAAGAATTACAAAAATAAAACTATTTCTTCCCCAGTGTTTCGTTTTGCTTTTTGTTGCAGTTGTTAAATCTTAAACTTTCTGTTTGTCAGCTAGAATTGATGTTGGTGGACGATTCCATGAGTTACTTACGTATGCATGAGCAAGTTAACAGAAAAAAATAATGCTTCAGCGCAAAAAAGCCTGTTGTTTTTCAGTGAAGCACTGATGGTAGTCATTTAATATATATATAATCGGAATTCTTTATGGTACCAGCAACTTTCTTGAAAAACCTAACGCATTAGAATAGAAATAAAATGATGTTCATAATTTTTTTTTGCTACAACGTAAATGCCATTTATGACATTTTTAACACGTAAAAATATTTCCAGCTTTGAAACATGGAAAACTGTATGAACGGGAATAGAATACGTCGAAAATAGGTATAGGTGAGTAACAAACAGGTGATTGGATTGTTTGATGAATGTTCGTTCAATAACGTACCGATAATAGTACGTTAGAAAATTGTTCTCATAGATTAATCAGTTTTGGAAAGTGCTCTTTAAAGTAGAACGAATTACTTTATCTATCATTTTATATATTTCGTGTCACTCGGCAAAAAGATCAATAATATGAGCAGGTTATAGAACAATTAATGTATTTAATTTAAGAAATTCCAATTTTTTAATTCCATGTTTTGTTTAAAACCCAAACAATAACATAGCGTTCCCCATTTCTGCATTAATAATTATTATATTAATCTTTTGAATTACTTTAGAAGAAACTGTAGTTAAGATTCAGCCAAAAACCTTGCAAATCAGTGTCTTTGCACCAAAATAATCAAAGCTGCGTGGAAATTCTGAATACCATCCATTATATTAATCTTTTTCTGTGTGATAAAGTGTTATTGTTTAAACTATTACAAATAAAATGTTATTGTTTAACTATTTGCCTCAATTTATTCATTGACAACCTGCAGATGGAATGAATGTTTCATATATGCAATAAATAACGTCTTACTTCAGGATGCAAACCCAGTTTTTTTTTTAACTAGTATTAATTCTGATATAAAAGGATTATTAATTCCAATATAAAACAGTTGGCTCATTGAGTAATTCTTCCTCATTATATCCTTTTCTTTATCTTTTCATTTTCACCAGACACACTCACTTCCAGAAAATATGAAAATTTTAGGGTTTTAAAAACGATTGGATTATTACAGGAAAATAATAAGGTCGTTATACGTAACATCGAATTATTTCTTCAACGGATTTACGTTTAAGATCAGGTACGGTAACGTTTTTGGCTGGAAATCCAACCGGTAAAAGAAGAAAAACCTCTTCGTCCGGTGGTCTTTTCAGGTGTTTTCGAATTTTTTCACCACCGTATAATGGATAGGTGATTGAAGTAGCTAGTCCTGCATCCTGGAAATATTTTTAGATTTCCTAAAAAAAGTTCAGCAATTGAGATCATTGTTAGCACCAAATTAAATAAGTTGCCTGGAAGATTTTCAATAATTTAGCACTCAATCTCTAAAAGGCAATTAATAAAAATATATAGATAGAAATTAAAGTGAAGCAAACTTTTAATAATACTGCAAAGTAACCTGAAGAGCTGCGATTAAAATGCCAACTGTTATACCGATACTTATTTGATTGTAATGCGTTGAAGTCAACTCATTTGAATCATTGATCAAATGAGCCTGAAACTTGAATAGATGGTTAATTAAGTATCTAATAACTCTATAAAGATAAATTAAATTTAGCTATTCAATAATTTATAGTAGATAAAAAAGTAAAATATGTGAGAAAAGATTTTTTTATTAACAATAAACGAAACAAAAATTGGATATAATTGAATTTCTTAAATGAAATTTTGATGTGAAAGGAATTAAAACTTTTTTTTCATTCTATTCGTAAGACACTTTTATCACGCTATCTTAGCTAGGAATTAAATTGGCTTTACTTGCAATTCTTAACATGAGAACTGGTAATAAATTAACATTATGCTTTCAAATAAAGCGAAACAAATTAACTGTAAATTCTACTTGTTTCATCACCACAATGAGATGAGGGGCTTCAGTAAGATATGGTTTGGACCATATAACTTTCAGTTCTGCTATATCCAGCACCCAATCAGCTCCCATCCTGAACAAAAACACTCTTATCACTGGACGATATCATCTCTCTCGATGACATAATAAGTCGGATATTAATTCAGATTGAATATCAGACTTTTAATTTGTATTTTCAATCGAATGTGCATGCCTTTGTTAAAATTATTTAACTGACTTCCTGTCCAAATATATGTTTTTATATGATTCCTGATCACTTAGACGTATAGGACCCATTAGATTTCCTGTGAATCTTTATTGTGAATCTTTATCAGAATTAATAATCTACTTTGCAACAAAATTTAAAAGTTAATCAAGTCATAAGTTTCCAGAAACTTTTTGCTATAAGTGCTTCGTTCTTCCTCCTCAATAATCTTTCTTATCGTAGCTTTTACTCCATAATTACTGATTACGCAAAACATCCATGGTTGCAGATTGCCTGCACTCGGTGCGGTACCTAAAAAAAATTTTCAAATTTGACAGCGAATCCATCCGAATATTGCCAAATTTCTTGGGTTTTCAATTTTTTCGATTCCGTTTTGAAATTTCAATAAAATTACTTATACTTAAACAAGTCAATTGCTCTTTGGTATCCCCTTTTGCATATTAATTGTTTTTGCGGTATTTAAAAAGCTGATTAATTTCAATTTGATGATTTTGCCGTACCTGCTGATTTGATGATATTTTGAATCAGTTTCGAAGGTACTGGACGAGGACTAAATTCTTGAATACATCGTCGCATCTTCATATTTTCATAGAACAGCTGAGACCTTGGGTTTTTTTTTTAAATTGAAATTTCAAGTTTCAATTGGATGTTTTCAGGTTTAATTCAGAAAGTTATTATTTTTAAGAAATGGAAATAATGGAGAAACAAGAAAGACTAAGTATTATAAATATACGAAACATTATTATAAAGTTTGGTTGCAATAACTTATATTAGCTATAGTTAGGTAATGTTGTCATAAGATAAGGCTTTTTTGGATTTAAAATGAGATTTTATTTAAATTAATTAAATTTCGAGAAGGCTAGTTTAATTGGTGGACAAATCAAATGGAATTCTTCGATAACTGAAAATATGCATCTCATAAGGTCCAACTAAAATAAAATTCTGTCAGTGCTGAGCAACATTTAAAACATTTTAATAGGAAAACTAAACTACCTCAATAAGGCTTCATCGTCATGCAGACGCAAGCGATGGTATGGTACCTTCTTTATGCCAAAGACCTCTCCATAATTCACGACACTTTCGATAACATCGCCTATCTGTTAAAATTAATTTTTAAACTGATGCGCATAATTGCCGTTTCTAAAGTATTAATGCATGCTGTCATGACTTTAGAAATATGATAACATATGGATGCCAGCATTTCTTAAAAGCTGACACCTGTTTGTCAGTCACTGGTGCTTTCGGAATGAATTTTCGTTCCTGTACCGTTACAACCGTATTTTGCTTCCGGGCTTTAGTTAATCGGAACAATGATATAAGTTGGGCGATGACAAATGCAATCACAAGTGTTAAACAAAACACATTGGTGCATGAATGTACAACTTCCCATCGCCAATTACCTTCCGTTAACATCTGCAATATTATGAGAAAGTTTGCTTTCCATCTTTATTCCTTTATCTGCTGATATTTATTAAGTTATAAATAACTACTGAACGCGAGAAAATGCGTGCCAAATAAATGAATCGAACTAACAGCATCAATTTCTTTTTCATCACAATACTTGAATGATTTTTTAATGAAATGGTGACTGTATCTAGGATGATTAATTTTGATAGAGAGGACTTTTTACTTCTGAAATATTTTTGCGCTTGAATTTATTCATATATTAGTATATGTTTTAAAAAATTCAATGGCAATTTCCGTAAAACGATTATTTGATGCGTACGAGAATAAATGGAAATTGTAATAATTTATATATCTCATTTTTACTGTTAAATTTGGAAAGGAACAAACATAAAAGATGGATTTTTGAAAAAAGGTCATTCAACTGATGGGTGGAAGAATGAAAGTGAAGGCGACAATAAAGATATGCTTAGGTTTGTATTAAAATTCTTAATTTCAATTTTTTTAAAATTAAAAAAAAATAAATTTTAATATATGAGAAAAATACAAAGCAGAATTTATAAACTGAGAAGAAATCTACTTCGCAAAAATATTCTTTGAGAAACTTTCACTTTCCCTAACTTTCAACAAGCTATTTATCAAAAATTAAGCCGAAACAGAAAAAGGTGTATTTTAAAATATTGCACAGTTTTACTACTGCAGCACACAACTTATACAACATCTTGCTGTCACACGTATTTATTCGATAACGCCCGAACTGCTTGTGCATTTAGTGTAATATAACTACTGCAGAAGGCGTCATACAGCTTATCTTTTAGAAGTAGATGCTGATGTCAGCTGTTTAATCACTCAGGTTAGCACACTTGCTAATTGAACTTTTGGTAGTGTAAATTAAATCTTAGCCGATTGTTGTGTGTAGTACCTTCTCAACTTGGTTGGAATTCTCAGGATGTATGCTACGCTATATTTCAGCACTCTTCAGATGCTGTCAGTTCCATTTCAAGGTAAATTGGATCTAATATAAAATACATATAAATTAGGTTTTATTTTAATTAATGAAGCTATTCTTGCAATGAAAATTCTCACATACTTTTTTCTCGCCAGGTAATAATTTCGTATATTTGAGGAAATAGAGAGGAGAGAAAATGAGCAGAAGAATAATGAAGGTAAGCAAAAGAGGCGATAAATTCATATTATAATACAATAAATATGCCTTGCACAATTTTTTTTGCCATGTTAAATTAGAATAATAAAGTAGTGCAAACAAATTGATAAAACAGGTACATTCTGCACATATTTAAGTAGAAAAGCAAAGCAAGAAGGACAAATTAATAATAATGCTGCTAGGTTGGTTCGTAAAATTGGCAAAGTACTGTTTTGAGAAGTTGGATGATATTCAGATTTAATCCATTGTTTCGGTGATGGTATGTATCAGTGCATGGGTTGCAACCCTTGTTTAGAACAGAAATTTTTAAATGAAATATTAGGAGGGATCTTATCACTTTCAGAGCATGCAAAAAGTGATCGTTTTAAAATGATTTTGAGTAATTTCATTACTTCACTCCATGATTTCCCTTTAATGTTTTTGTCTTCAAAAGGAGTTTCATTAAACTTGAATCAAGCAACTCTTCTTAGCTATGCTCCATTTTCAATTTTAAGTAACTATTTGAAGAATGGAAAAAAGATATGCATTGGAGATGGTCCATGAAATGTTCAAGTTCATGCTTTTTTGAAAACAGTAAGATAGTGAAGCGTCATCAATTTACAAACTAGAAGATATTTGTCCGGCAGGAATCTTAAATTGGATTACTTTTTGCAAGCTGCACTGCCAATGATAAGAAGAATAGAGGAATGTAAGGAGAACAGAGCATAACGATCATCAATATAAGAGAGAATAAATTGAAGTTGACGAACCGTAGTTGTTTAGATAGAGGCATGTGGATGTGCAAGCCGAAGCTTTAAGCATCCACCGCACGCATATTTATTTATGCGCAGCAATAAATTGCACATTGTAATAGTGTACATTACATCAAGGCTCTCTCTATTCGCACCTGTTCTCATAACTTTAAGCAAAAACTAAAGAATGGAAGGGAAATGCGTTTTTATTTCAAACTGCATAAATGAACTTATCTCTTTTGCCTTTCTTAGCTTCTACTCTTTCTCTCTCTTCATCTCTAACTTCATTTCATATTAAAGTAATATTTTGTTTATTTGGATCTTAATTTTAGATTCCTCTCTAAATGAACTCCTCATCGCTATGGTATCTCACCTTTCAATATCCTTTTTTTACCTGTCTTTGCTCATACTATTCTGAAAGGTGAAGTAAATATATCGTTGACAATGTCGTGTCATTCTATCAAAAGCTACTTGAATCTTATTGAATGCCAAGAACTGAAACATTCTTTGGGAAGCATTTCTACTTTTCTTCAGGAGTTTCTTAATTAAGAAAATTTAAGTAAGTTGACTGTCGAATTAATGCATTATTTCATGATAATTTTTGAGAGTTTCAGTCATATTTCGTATTCACTATTCATTTAATTTATAATGAATCTTTTCAAAAATTTGAAAGTAATGTTTCGCATTGATCTATTATTACAAATGAGCCGTTGTCGGTGCCCTCAACTTTTGTCAAACTTATTTTTTTTTTAGCTAATTATCATACCAAACTTCACATTTTATGAACACAGAAAAATGAATCAAATGAAGGCATTATGATTCACTTTTTCCATTTCTCGTGCGAACACATTTTGTACATCATATAATGTTTTTATTTAAATGCGCCATGGCAATATTTTTGGCTTTCTAATTTTATTGGAGTAGACTTTAGTTATATACAAATCTTGCTTATCTAAATACCTTATTATTAGCACAATAATAACAGCTAGGCACATATGGTAAAAGTATCGTAGAAGCTTTAGTCGAGATCACAGAATGCCTAATATGTTATCTATCAGGCTTTATGTCCTAATGAAATTTGGTAGCATAGCTTGACGTATCTAACTGTCCAAAGTAAAGATTACCATAAAATACTCAAAGAAATAAGCGTGGAAGGACTCTACCGTGACCACATTATGAATTATCAAGAAGAATTAATCCTTTTATTATTTCAGTACTTAATTGAATGAAAATCTAACAACCAGTGAGAGTATTCCACTCCGGGAAGTAAAAACAAAGAATTAAAATTCAGTCCTCTAGACGAACTGTTCTGGGATGTAAATAAAATATAAAATATCTAAACAGCTTTCACAAATTAATAAAAAGCTTTGTTCTCCTTCCTCATGTATAAAACCGGTCTTTATTCATCGCTGATTTCTGACAGAGTTCACCATCCTATTATAGGGTTGATGGATGGTTTTTCTTCATTTAATTTACGATCAGTTTTATATTGCTTTTGTATTACTTCTCTCTTGCAGTCAATCCCCACTTATGATTTTTATCAAATAAGCATTACACAAACATATGCCAAAAAGTAAAATACAAAGACGAAATGTCCATGTGCACTGTCACCGTAACACTGTTTGAATATAACGGGACCGCATTTCTTCAAGTTGGAGATGTGTGGGTAAGAAGAAGTTTTTCCTGCAACTCTTCTTGCTGTTGTCGTTTTCGTTGTCTTCGTAGAATGACTTTGTGAGATCGCTGTAACTTACTCTGGTGACATTGTCACTGTTTAAATCCGAGAAAGTTTGCTGACGTTGCCGTCCTCCACTTATTCTTTCTGGTATCTGTAGCTGTACTTGTTCATTTCATTGAAATTATTTTATTCTTGCGTAATATTTTTTTATTCTTACCACTACCTACTTTAGACATGCAAGTAATGTAAATGACGTGACTATTTATCGTTATTTATAGCAAGTCATGGTATCACCATCAGACTTGGGCGAATCCGACTCACAAGAAGATGAGAGGTCTAATTCAAAACAGAAGAAGTAAGTAATGAGAATTCTGTTTTTATATATTAAAATTCTCTATATAATAGTTTGAATGAATTTGTTGCAAAACCCTCCAAGTATTCTAATCATATTGATTCCAGAACAAAAGGACCTAGTTTGTATGAAATTTTGGGTATTACAAAGGATGCGTCAGATGATGATATCAAGCGTGCTTACAGAAAACTAGCCTTGAAGTGTCATCCCGACAAGAACTTAGAGAATGATCCGGAGAAAACTGAACGCGTTGGTTTTGACGAACTTTGAGCTGATTTCACTTTCAATGCGTATAATATATAAGGAATTCATCCGTTTAGAATTTAATTTGATGTAATATTTGCAGATAACTTTAATGTAAAACAGGAAAATGTTGTTCATATTCAAGAACTCTAATTTCCGTCATCCTTCAGTTTAAAGAAATCAATCATGCACATGCTGTGCTGTCGGTACCAACAAGACGTAAAGTATACGATAAATATGGAGACGTGGGTCTGAAGTTAATGGAACAGTTTGGTGATGACGGTGCTGTAATCGGTTTAGCTTTCAAGCCCTGGTTTAAGGTATAGCTTATTCAAATAAAAAAAATTTTTTTTCAATAAGCAGTAGCGTTTATTTTACATTGAACAAGATATTTTTATCTTCATTTCATACCTGATTATGTTGTTGTGTATCTGAGACATGAGATTTGTTCCATACTCACAGAACAAGTAAGGACTCTTCGATAAGCCATGATTAGAAAGTTAGAGGAGTATGTAAACAAACAGTGATTTGTTATGGTTTTTTCAGTGGGCGTTCGTCATTTGTGGTCTTTCGACGTGTTGCTGTTTCTTTTGTTGCTGTGGTTGTATGTTTTGTTGCAATTGTTGTTGCAACTTTTGTTGTGGCAAATATAAACCAAAAGGATTTGATGAGGTTTCCCTTTGTTTCTTTACTTTGAAATATTATGATGAGTACTGCACTGAGGACTTTTTTTTTTCTTGTTGTTGTAATGTTATACTAAACAAATTAGTAGTGAATTGATCCTAATTATCCAGGAAGGATATATGGGAGAAAGTGATGCAGAACAGGAGACAAATGGAAATGCCTCAGTAATTGTTGGCCAGCCAGAAGAATCGAATATGTTGCCGAAAAGTGTAATTTATCTGCATCTTTGCTGTGAATTTCAAGAATCTTGTAGAAAATTATGTTTCTTTTGTTTTGATTTTATTCCATATATCCCTGTTCAGTGTTTTTGTTGCTCTATTACATCTACTTCCTTTTTCAGAGAAATGGCGATGGAAGCCTACAAACTGCTGAAAGCTCAAATGAAAATCTTTGTGATCATCCTGCAAATTATCCAGTAAGTTGTCATACAAACAGTGAAGCTGAAGCTGATCCTGAAAATTGAATGACTTCAGGTTGGTGTTTGCAGTTAATTAATTACTTAAACTGTACTGACATCGTTAACCTTGAGTTTCATTTGCTTTAGCTGCGAAAGGGAATTTCAGAAGCACGTAAATGAAGTTTTTCCTTTAGTTTCAATTCTTTTATATTAAAATCAACTTTCATTATGTTTTATTGTTCCGAAGTCTTTTTCATTTATTTTAATTTACAGTTGACAATGTTTTTAGGAGGTGGTGATGTAAGATGATGTTTATAACAAAAAGTCTTGAATTGAATGCGAATCATTCACGCTCAAATTAAAATAGTAAATAGTGGTAGTTAGATAAATTGTTTAGTAGTCATAGTTTTTACATTTTTTTTTCTTGATTTGTTATCATTATTCCCTTAATTTTTTAATGAAAGCGTATGAGAGTTAGTGTTTCTTATCTTTTCATCGATTTTAACCACACAAAGCTTAGTGTTTGCAACTGTTTTTGCTTGTTCCAGGTTATTATAAATATTCCAAGTGAAGTTTTCTCTGTGAATTTTTCTTGCTTTCCTAATCAGGAATCAGTTAAATGGTCCTTTGCAGAGTTGCTTATTTTAGTAGTTGGTTCATCATGTTTACTTACGTTTAATCATCATAGCATATTTGTTTCTCTTTGTGTCTTCGACTGTTGATATTATAAGGTGCAGATCTCACTAGATGTGTGAAACCTGAATTTGGATTTAAAAAAAGAAAAATGTGATTTGAAAAGAACAGATTTGTAGATTAAATTTCCAACCAGTAATCGGATATGTTTATGTGCATGCGAATTAGATATGTACGTGTGAGTAAGTGCATTAATGTTTAGTTCTATCCAAGAGATTTTAATATGAATTCTGTGGTGACCCCACTTTGCGTTTGTGTTTGCTGTCGATTAATGCTGTATGCAAGATAATGTAAAATTTATTTCTTTCGAAAAAAATTTTGAGGGATATTTTGCATCGTTTTGCAGATGCCTTACTGATCATTTAGATTTCTCTCAGGTTATTTTCCCAATCTGATGGGATTTCTGTGTTTCTGGAATACTCCTTTTAAGTATTTCCCTCATTCATTTGCTCATATTCTCTGTAAATACATGCATTATTAGTAGTGATGATGTCTTTTTCATGTTATCATATATTGCTCTGTATTACAGTCTAATTCGAGTCTAGGGAATTGAAATGTCCTGGAGATTGGATGACATTCAATTTAGCGTTATAAATTACAGATAATGAATTGAATTTTAGCGGGTCGAAATTATGTCGACAGATCATGTTCCTTTTTTTTTCCTTTTTTGGATAAGAGAAATACATACGATTAGCATAATGGAAAAGTAGTGATAAATGAGGAAAATGTACAGAATATGTGAGCGAAAGCATGATAAATGTATTGTGTTGGCGCTGGATAAGCGAGATGATATTCTGCAAAGAAAAAAAATTTCTTTAAGTCACATAATGAGTAAAAACCTGTTTGGTAATGTAATCCTTCACTTGGCAATAAGTAAAAATTGATCATATAGCACAACCACTTAAAAATGTATTAATCTTGAATTTTAATTGGATTTAATGTATAATCTCTTAAAAAGTGGGAATCGCCCCCTAGTTCCGACAACTATTCAACACTGTTTTCTAGGTTTCATTTTCATGCTATGTCGTGTATTCCATTGGATGTAACTCAGGCACTAATGCGTGCTCAGTTTCTTTGTTTTTTATTAAGGATTAATTAATTAATTATCACTCGATGTTGTTAGGGATCTGTTACCTTTCGATGCCTTATTTATTGTCAGATAATTACGATAAGTATTTATTTATTAATCCGTGTAAATGCATTGGACATTTGATTGTTTTATGATTATATTGTTTTTCTTCACTGCTGTCGTTGTGATTATCAGTCTTGAATAACAAGTAAACAATGAAGAAGACATTTAACGATATTTTATATTATGTGACATAATAAGGATCAGAGTGTATCATGGTAAAATCATTATTCGTGATTTTCACAATCTTTTAAAACTTTGTATTAGTTCAAAACGCTAAGAGGAACTAAGCTGTAAGAATAGAGTAGAGGACTGGTGAACTCATTTCCAGAAAAACAAGCAGATCCATCATATTTGGTCAGGTACCTTCTGTGAATGATTTCTCGATTTGAGCTAATTGAGGTTTGAAAATTATAGAGGAATATAATGGGAGCTATGAAATAAAACTTGTGTTTTCATATTCATACAAAATATCGGTGTTAATAGTTAATGTGATTCAGGGACGTTTGCCACAATGTGGCAGGCATTTGACTGACGGACAGATATATATCCTTGCTTTCGAAGACTTCATTTCCTTGTTGGATTGTGGTGACTGGCTTATATACTATATATCTTTACTTAGTGTTAGGTAATCTTTGTTATTGGAGGGTTGTAGCGTACTTAACTCTGTGATCGTTAACGTTTCAGGTGGTTTCAGAAAGTTTCTTCTGGTGTAGTTATCACCTGAATCTTTTGCTCTCTGCGCATTTAGTGTTTCACTGCTTACGTTAAAACTGACATCTGAATGCAGCGCAATGCGTTCGGGTGGTATATTAACGACACACTTCAAGAAATCCATTCCGACTGGTAATATTCCTAAATGTCAGCAGTTGGTAAATTCAAATATGCAAATTTTCTGATTCAAAATCGCAGACAATGAAATGAAACGCTGCGGAATTGAAAACATTAAATAAGGAGATCTATCTTTTCCGTGTAATTGTTCTGGTTAAATACTGAACAATTTGAATTCCATTGTTTAAGGCTTTGCAAATGGTTTCGATGAACTAACTAGATTATACTAAGAAAATGGCACCAGTTTTTTCAAAAATTGAACTAACCATTTGCGAATAAATATTCGGAAAGATAAGAGGTTCCAATGCAAGCGATGAATGAGCCCAACATGGCCATTGTTCGAAACGGGAAGAACTGAGTCCCTAATATCGTACCATCTTCTTTAATCACTTCTTCGTACATAGGGTAATGGATAAATGCTGGGAAAGAAAGAAGTGGCTCGCCTCCAGATAGCCTTAGCAATAATCCCACTGCAAATGATTTGTTTTTAACTTTATATAAATAAGCAGCGCATAAAAAATGTAATCGGAAACTTAGATTTTACTTAATTTCTGGAAGCTTATAGCTTCGAGGAACATTGTGAATACTGGACTCCAGAGACTACAGTTCGGCATGCTTTTTTTCATTATCATTTCGACAAAAGGGATACATCAACAATAAACCTACCGATATAACCAGTGACTGATCCGTAAGTATTGGAGTGCTTGAAATATACAACACAAACAAGTTGTGGAAAAAGTATAACGTAGACAAGATCTGCACATAGATACCATAAGCCGTAAATGCTGTTTATTGTAAGCGCCATTAAAGTTGCACAGAATCCAACTGCTATAATTGCAATACGCATCACACAAATCACCTCTTCTTCATGGGCCTGAAAAAAAAAAAAAAAAAAACTTCTTTAAAAACATATATTTTTTAATATAGATGAAAAACCTACATTTGGGCGGATAGCCAGCTTCCATATATTGTGTGCAAACATAGATGCTGCTGAAAGAACCGAAGAATCAGCGGATGACATTACTGCAGCTGATACTGCACCGAGTCCTGAAATTTATCTATGGACTTCAGCTGACAGTTTTTGTACATTCGAAAGTATTTAATCGAAATGCAATTAAAACGAGATTTCTATAAAATCAGATCTAAACATAATAACTTAAACGTTAGAGCTAATATTAAACTAGCCGATGAATGCAACCCATTTTGGAGTCAAGTGCTGAAAAACTAGTGGCACAACCATATTTGTCTGATCAACAAGAATTGATTCGCTTTTTGTGCCATTGTTCCATGGATTGTAATTGGTTAACCTCCAATCTATAAATTTATTCTTCTAAATTACTTTGTCCTCTCATAAAAGCAACTTCTGAAGCGTAATTCGAACAATGTGAACCAAAAACATTTTAACTAAGTAATAATGGAAAAACTAAAGTCGTAAGCCTCTTCTCGAAGATTAACCTACGATATTGCTGAAGAAGTGGTGCGTTATTTCCAGTGAAGTGATTACGCAATTACAAGTATGTGTAATTTAATATAGCTGACTCAAATATTAACCAGTATTTCGAGCAATGGCTCCGATTAAGGCAGGTGGTATAGCCATCAAAATACAACCAATACCCGCCACAAATGATAACTTCTGCGCACCTGATGATGATTTTGATGATAGTACTCGTTGAAAATATACCTTAAAATTATGTGTTCTATTATTTATCTAACATGAATTAGAAAGGAAATTTTCAGAATTTTCAGAAAAAAAGTTTGCCGGAATGTTTGTGTCTGAAAAAGCATATTCGTGAAAATCAGAGGACAATTAGAGTTTAAACTACCAAATTATTGAATTTGGTTACATCAAAACTTGATGTTTTGGGAATTTAGAAGCAGAGAATAAATAGAAAACTAGCCTGCCAGGGGATACCACCAAAAATAAGTAGCAGCATGCAGTCTATCCACAGTGTCGTTTCCTTAAATCCGCCAATGGTACCAATCCAATCCGCTGCATTCCTTGATAAATCTTTCGTTTTATCTTGCAACAGTGATGCTGGTACACAAACCCACTGTAAATGATTATATTGTTCTCTTGTAATCGTAACTTCAGACTATCATTCATCATCACTGAAGCTATTTTGAATGAATTCGTTCTTTGGCTTCTAAAGGAGACAATAAATCGTCAGAACCTTGTCTTCATTTTATCTCTAGGTCTAGACTTAATTATTTCAGCAGACTGGCTAGCAACTTTTATAAAAATCACAGATGGAAATTATAATATATATTACTAGAATCAATGAATTAAGACTGCAAGAATTCTCTTGAAAATCTTTTTGTCTCAATAATTCAACTGATCTACAACGAACCAAGCCGACGAATATGCAAAATAGCTGTACAACATCCGTGTATGCAACAGCGTACAAACCACCAGTGAAAGTATAAAATACTGCAATTATTGCTGATATTATTACTGACAATGTCATATCAATCGCTAGAATCACTGATAATGTTGCTCCTGAAATCGAACAGTGAAAAAAGAATCCTTGTGAAGGAATTACCTGTAATATTTCCAAAAGAAAATCTTTAGAAATATGCAATTCGATTCAAAATTGCGTCATAATTTATAAACTAACCAAGAGCTGATAAAATCGCAGCTGTCCAGAATACTTCCCCAAGAAGAGCAGGGATGAACAGAAGACCACCAACTCTTTGGCCATACTTCACCTGCATGAACAAAAATTTATCAAGGAGATCAGGTTAATTCATCTATAACCTGATCCAAGGATGTTTTGTGACGATCATTTTCATAAACTTAAATTAATTTTATAATGATTATAAAATTGCCAAAGTTTTCTATGGAAATAAGAGAATGCATGACTTTTTCCACGTCCAATAATTTAATAATAAATTATTCAGAATACCCAGCAGCATACCTGGAATGGATCCAACATTGTGATATAGCCTTCATCACGCATCTTTTTCGCAAAAAGTATGCCACCAATGACTAGTGATAATGCATAACCGAATGGCGCTTGACATCCTAGAAGACCGCCATTGTAGAGCGCTTCTGCAGTACCATTGATATAAGCTCCACCAACCCACGTTGCTGTAAAAGAGATCAGCAATAATTCGTTAACTTGAAGTGATACCTGCTAGGAAAAAGTAATGATTAAAATTGTTATAATAGCAAAATTTGTTAAGGATAAATGATATTATAAAGTATTTTTGTTCTAAATGCGATTTCAAGATTTTAGTTTCTCAGTGTTATCTTACTTTCTGACCTGAGTTTTTGTCCACAACGTTAAGGAGTTTCTCGAAATTTTCAATACCTAATGTTTTCGTAGTAGTTAAAAAAAATGAAAGAATACGTCAGTCTGAAATCCTCTAAGTAGCTTAGTTTAATATTATTTCAATTTTCGCTTTTGCACTTTAATTTTAAAAGTGACACAAAATAAAAAAGAAGATTAAGTAGATGTAAAAGTAAAACACTGTTTGCAGCTTCTTTCAGATATCTTTGAATACCAACATCTTTTAAAAATCATTGCCGTTTTGAATTTTGGCAACAAAAAGCTCATTTCTCACTTTTTTTTTTTTTTTGATGTTGTCGATAGTGCATAATTTTCCAGACTAAAATAACAGATCTGAATCAAAGGAATGAATGGTGAAAGACTTTGATTAACACTGTCTTGAATTTTGAAGGAGGCTCTGATATTGGAAAAAGAAATGGGCGTAGATTGAGATCATAAATTTTGTCGCCACACTATTCTCTAGAAATTGAACAGCAATTCTTCAAAAGAAAAAGTTCTAAAATTAAATAAAATATTTATCGTATATATAATTTGCTTAGTTAAAACATTTCTGAGTATTATTATTTTGTTCACATTTCTAATACAAATTCTCGTTTATTCTTCAGGCCTAAATTAGAATTATCAACACCTCTTCATAGCATTTGTCGTCAACACTGTTAGCAGAAGCACTGCTATTATCAGAGCTAAATTTTTGTCCGAAATCAATGAATACTTCTACGTTTTGATATAAGTATATTCATTCAGCATTTCCTTACCTTAAAAAATCCATATCTTCTATTGTAGTATTATTCAAGATCATAAATTAAAAAAAAAAAAAGACGAACAGTTGTAAATTTTTATTTTTTCCTCTAAATAGAAATAAATTTTCTATGTAACAATATGTGTCTTAATCTGAAAGTTAAATGTATTGCGATGCAGAAACTTTTTGAATATTTAATGTCAGAACGTGAAGCATAGGTCTTTCAAATTTTCATAAATTCTATAACTGCTGAATTATTATCAGCAAATTTGTTTTCAATATATTGAAAAAGGAACAAATATAAAAAAACATAAAAGATGCACTTAAGCGCCCTCCCAAACCATTAATGTTCACTTCTAAAAAACTTTCTAACTTTAAGAAGACTAGTGACGCAAGAATTAAACATTAAACTTATTGAAAAATGACTTCAACAAGATGGTTAATAATATCTGTTTTCTTTATTTTTTTTGCACGCCATTGTTTTGTCTTCAATGATCGTCTGAGGAATCTCATTCATTTTTCAAAATTTGTAGAGTGTAAACAAATATTTATAGGATTCTATGTTCACGAGCGACGATTACTGAAGTTAATTTTCAAATATGGAACTTTGTCAGTTTTCACCAGCCTATTCTTTTTTTGCATTTTGAATATAAAATTATCTTACGATTTAGTATGCTTGGAAAATGTTATTGTTACTGTCATTTCTTTTGCTGATTGAAAGAACTGTAATGATCTCGAATAAGATTACATGAAAATGCAAGCTTAAAAAGTGGTGAAAACAGTTGTTTGTTTGTTTGCTGGGAAAAAAAGAAAAGGAAAATTTTCAGTAGAAGTGAGATGGAAAGACTATAAATGATCTAACTATATGGAATGAAAATGCTGGTTAATCATGTCTGACTTATGTTTTCCGGATGAATCCTGAATCTGCATCTTCTAAAACTATTCTATCTGTGATGGTATTTGTTGCCTTTAGTGCCACTACTAGTGCTGCTGCTGCTCTTGTTGTTGTTGATAACTGCAAGCAGAAATAGAAATAAAATCTAAGAATTGATCGCTTGCAGTTGAATTGTTTTCCCATGAGATATTTGAGATTCTCTAAAGCCATTTACCACAAATGCCATTTAAAAGTTTAATACTAACCAACTAAAACATATATATATATATATATATATATATATATATATGCTATATATAAGCCTTAAAATACAATCCATTTCATTTCCTACTCCAACTTTCTCCAAAAACCAAATATCGCTCCCTCAACTCAGATAAAGGTGACTTCCAACAAATTTTGCATGTTATTTATGGACAGAATCCTTAGAGAGCAATAATTTAAATGAAAGTATTTTTTTTTTACGTTGATCACCTTGAAAGAAACTTCCTGAAAGGTGGTGAAAATTGGTACATACTGGTTATTCAGATACTAATAGATTTATTCTGATAATAAATAAATTCGCATAACATTTGACCTAGAAACTCTGAATTTTGAACTTTTTTTCATCTAAATAAGAATAAGAAATGCCTAGATGGAAATGGAAGATGAACACAATGATTATGAACATATGTATATATATATTTTACTGATTTATTTTCTCGGAAGAACTTTTTAATTATTCAAAAGGTTCGAATTCACTGAATTATTGCTGCATCAATTTCGTGTGTGTGTCTGTATTGAATGAACGAATGAACGAATGAACGAACGAATGAATGAATGAATGAAACGAATGAATGAATGAAACGAATGAATGAATGAAACGAATGAACGAATGAACGAATGAACGAACGAATGAATGAATGAATGAAACGAATGAATGAATGAAACGAATGAATGAATGAAACGAATGAATGAATGAAACGAATGAATGAATGGAGTATTTCAATCTCTAAGAAATTACAGAAAATTTTCTCATTATTTTATTTTCATTCGAATTGAATACAAAATCTCAAACAATCTCCCTTACACAGTAAAAAACTATTTTACCAGTTATTTAAATTGCAACCCTTCCATTAACCAACAGACATTCTCATATGAATCCACACTCATTATTTCTCTTTGATTTATGAATAATTTGTATGAAATACTCAACACCAAACAATTCAGTTCATTAGAATCGACATAATCTATTGCCAAACACATCAGAAATATGCTTTATTTATTGCCTAAACTTAAAAAGATATATGGTATGGAAATAAGTATTTTCAATCACCGACAACAAATATTTTTTGATTGAACTAATTTTGTGATACTTTCAATTTATATATGAAGTATTTTTCAGACATACAAATGACGAGTTTCCAAATAAGTCTTTCAGGCACTGGAAGAGAGTGAGAATAACTTGTTTGTTCAAATATTAACCTTAAAAAATGAACTTAAATTTTCGAACATTGAAGATAAAAGTTTATAAAATAATTATAATCTAAGACACCTTTTCCTACATAAAAACAATTCCATACACAAATTTTTAAAAATAGAATAAATCAAAGACGACCAGCATAAAAGATTATTAGCACTTACCTTACCAATTTTTCATCAGAAAAAGTGGAGAAATTCAAAAATATGATTATTTCTAAAATACGCAAATTTCAAGAAAAAGCATTTGCATGATTTTGGAACGTAACAACAGGACAACAAAGATCAATTATATTATTTGCTATATTTAATTAAATTTTCGAAATACTCGTAAACGTTTAAATAATCAAAATTGAATGTTTACCAGTCATCGTGAAGATACCTACTAAAGTACCAATATTTCGGCCTGCCAGCATAACCTCTTCAGTTTGCTCACCATCAATGGACATTGAGTTGACATCTTTCGCTTTTCGGCCAGCCCAAATGCCGACAATAAGAATCAGCAGGTAAAAGAATACAATAGCTACAACGCCCAAGTAATCAATCATTTTTTTAATTTAGTGTTGATAATCAGGAACACCACCAGCTTGATGTGATTTTTTCATTTTTCCTGGCACAGATTTCTTTTCGGATTCTAAAACTGATTTATCGTAAGTCCAGATAATAGATTTAACAATCGAATTCATTCATATTTTTAAAGAGAAGAACTATCAAACATATTACTCCTGAAACTAATTAACCATTTATAAATGAGCAAGCAATGATTCAAAAATCACGGAAATACAAAACGTCTGAAAATTATTGAAACTGTGTTTGATAATTCATCTGCTAATGTAAGTTATTTCAATAACTGCAAGCTTGCAACTCCAAATTTTCCCAGCTTTTTTAATTGGGAAAAAACGATGTTTTTGAACTGGTTCAATTTCGTCTTCAGTATGCCTAATTTGCACTTAGCATACACATACAATTAATTTATATTCCTCTTATACTCAAGAAGATTGAAGTTAGCGTGATGTCACTCTATAAACATTTAAAGGCAAACAATCAGTTCTATTGAAATCCGCCTTTTATTAGCTTCAAAACCTTTTTATTGAACATAGTTAAAGCACACGGATTTGTTGAATTTATGATTATCCATGCCTCTTTTTAAGTTTGAAAAAAGGAAGACATAAAGGATAGTCCTGAACTCATTAAAAAGTCCGTAATTGTTGTCAAAATAATTACTGCCTAACAATTTGATGTTCACGTTCCAAAAATTGAAGATAGAAAAATATGCCTTCGTCCTCCGTTTTCTCTCTCTTGTTTGAGGAAAAAAATCACATTTTAGTCTTAAAACATTGGAATTCAACAAACAGTATTAACCATCAATTATTTTAATAGTAGACATTTAAGGAATGCCGTATCCGTTGCTTTTAACAAAACTTTTCAATTCTACAACAGCATACATCATCAACTTATTAAAATCTAAAACATAATTTGTCAAATTATGTCGTACTGTGCCAAATGATAGTTGACAACATTGGTGAGTATGTTATTTATAATAAATAAAAGTTTTTATCTCAATTTGCACAAAGCAACAACATTTAGTCATTGAGGAACTAATCTTTTATATATAAAAAAAGGTAATTAAATTCTACAAGTTAAAGACAAAACGAATGAATATTGTTTCGATTCTCATGTAAAATGTTTACATGAATTTGAATGGTATATGAGACCATTTCGTTCCTTCGACGATGAAAAATGATAATGGCTTAGGATAAACAATTCATACCGAAAGGGAAATTGATCAGTTGCTTGGATACATGATAAAAAAAAAATCGACGAAGAGAAATTTCTGAATTATGTGTTTAGAAACAAATGAAAATTTTCTATTTACTGAATAGTATAAGTTGAAAAACATGGATGTAATTAGTTTGATTCAAGCATTTCTTTGTTTTTTTTTTCTTGCTAAATCGTCACTACGCAACTTTCAGAGAAATTTGAAGCATATATTTCTTGTTTTTTTTTTTGAACATATGAAAATATTTGGGAAAATAAATGCAATAATGGTTTTGTGTAAAATTTCGAGCCTTTGCAGTACGAGTGACGAAAGAACCTGAAATGCTTTGAGAATTCACTGGAAATTCAGTAAGAGAACTTGGAGGATTGAAATTCATGGGAATTTTTAGATTAGCATTTGCAATTATATAAAATGTAGTGTAGTTGAAAATATTCGTTCAATTTTTTACGCAATACTACTGCCAAAGAACAATTGAAGTATTAAAAGGAACAGGAGAAGTGACAGTGATTGACTGAATCTTTAAATCTGAATAAGCTTTAGGAAGGAATGAAATGATTGTTCTATTTAAGGTACAGAAATATTTTTATGGCAGTATGATGAATGCTCATTGAAATATTGAGAATTGGGTGAACAAAATCGGTGAGTGAAAATTTTCTGGAATGACTTAGGGAAGGAAGATGGTATATGATGGAGGTAAATGAAATATTCATCGCGTCGTGTCCATTGATGCTCTAACTGAAGGCACGCTTCTACATCCCAAAGAAAAGGGACTCTAATGAGGTGAAGCTTGAGCTTAGTCCTTCCAAAGCACAGCTCCGCCTTCTGCCTTTTATTTAGCTCTTCTTTCTTTCCCTCATTTTTTCTATCGTGAATCTCATCCACTGTCCAGTTAGTTATTCATATCCCTCCTATATATAAATTTCAAAGTAGCACTGACCAGATCAGATAATGATGAAAAATAGTGCACTCATGTACCATACACAAGTGGATAAACACTAAAACGCTCAAAAGAAGTAGGTGTTTTATTTTATGAAAGAGGATGGAGACGGAGTTCAAATTCCTATTTCGAGCACTCACTTTTTGGCGGTACAAATTATTCAAATCTGTACCTTCCTGGAAGTCATTCACAGGAAGAAAACATGATCCAGTGCAAACACCATCTTTTAGATATTTACTTGGATAAAATATGGAAATTATAAAATTCAGAGAATGCAAAGGATTAAGTAGTAACGGATCGGAGGAGAGGAAGAAAAATCTGTGTGCAGTAGGCGTAAGATGTGGCAAGCCCCAAGCAGCAAGGAAAAGGAGAAAATGCCTCAGCGATGATGTATCCCTTTTGGCTATTCCAATTCAATTATTCCATTCAATTCAACATTTTAAAATGCTTCTTCTAAGCTGAGTTGTTTACCACTTAAAAAAAAAAAAAAAAAAAAAAACCATTCTTTACCGCTAGTTGAGAACTTCTATCAGTTTCTAGTCAATGATTTAAGTAAATAATTTGCCGTCCTAACTCATCTCAACCTTTCCCTAAAGTCTTCCTCAATTTTAGGAAAAACAAACTGAATTTCGCCTTACTCCATTAAGAAATTCTGGCCTTCATGCGTTGTGTTAACGAATTCAACAAACGGCGCTCTAGAATCTCATTTCCTTTTTTATCAAACTCATCAAGTATTAACCATCTTAATCAGCCTCTTCCCATCGTAATATTCAAGCCTTATACATCGATGCACAATTCACTTCATCGATTTCTTTAAATTTTTGTCAGCAGATGGTTATGTAATGCTCATAGCCATAAAACTGTTTAAGTCTTTAAATGCTATAGTGAGGGGTCGTGACCTTTCTCTTTGACTTATTTCTTTGAAACAGAAAAACATTACATACATATAAGCACACACAAATGAACTGATTTATTTATACAGAAAAGCGATAGAACTCCTCACACGCACAAACATTAACTCAGCACTAACATAACAGAGCTGTTCACTGATGAAACATATCTACACAAACTGAAGTTTCAAAACATTTATACGGAAAATTGCAAAAAAAAAGAAAAAAGAAAAAAAAGGAAAAAAAAAATAGGGGAAGATATTACAATGAAGGATCAGCGAAGGATTCCATAGTTTCAAAAAAATTAAGACAAGCTGACTGAAATGCAACTGGGTTACTGAGGTAACAAGCATGTCCTGCTGACGGTATTCTCAAAAGCCTGAAAGAAAGATTAAAACAAGATGATTATATTTATCATTAGAAAAACTGCGCCGAAGACTTAATTTCACGTGCACTTAGATGGAAGTAGAAAATACACAGATGAAAAGAGAGAAAGAAATATTTTAAAAGCTTTGATTCAGCAAACAAATGTGCAAATTTTCAAAAGAAAAAAAAAAGTTACTTGGAATTCGGTAACCTGCTGAGACTAGAGGCTGCACTAGGTCCGAGACTGGTATCACTTTCACCCCAAATTACCAGCACTGACGTCCTAATACTTTCGGGATTTATTGGCATTACATTTGTGTTCGATAGTGCAACTGCAACAACGCAAATTATCCGATTTGTTCCAAGTAATGGAACGATATACTGTCCGGCCATACTATGTCCAATAATTATGACCTGTAATAACAAAGAAGAGATAAACCGGATAAAAGAAATTCGATTATAGCATTTACAAAAACCAATCTTCGAAGAAACTAAACCAAAACAGCTTAATTTGGTTGAAGAGAGCAGCAAAAACTTGTCAGTAAACATTTTTCATCATAATATCCCTCTCCCCTTTCTTTCAGGAGAAAAAAATTACAGTTTCGAGCTCAAGGGCATGCATAGCAAGAGGAATTATCTCAGCTTTTTTGGAATCTGAAACTGTAGGTCCACCAGTTTTACCACAACCAGGCATATCAAACGCTAAACATCTGTATCCAGCAGCAGAGAATACCTGAAAGAGAATTAATAAGCTATATTAATATATAATTTTCCAACTTATTCATAGAAATAAATTGCTTTTAAGAAGCTTAAGACATTTTAGATGGAAGAAAAGTCATCAACAATCTAACATCTGAAAACGACCTGCATCGTGGAATTTTCCAACCATGTTGATGATGAAAATGACTGGCCATGAATTAACAGAATTGTTCCTTTATAAATAACTTCTTGAGGGGGGACTGTTTCTCGGAAAAATATTTCGTATCCCTAGAAAGAACAATATTTCTGAGGAATACTGGAACCGCCATAACTAAAAAATTTTGTTCCTGGATGACTAACTGTTGTGTTAACCTCTACATAACAGTGAAACTATGTTTTAAAATCAAAAAAATTACGTAAATCTGGTTCCACCGCCCAACAGACGGTGATTCCACATTCTTAAAGCAAAAAATGAGTATGCTTTTAGTCAAGTATAAATAAAGAAAATTTTGAACATAAAACGATTTTTTCTGCTCAAAAAAATTCTGAAAGTTTTTTCTAGTTAATATCAGAAACCAAACATTCAAAAAACATTTGTGATGCACAAATAAGCATCAGGAAATTGACAAACAAGAAAAAGTGCCCACTGTATCAAAAAAAGGTAAGAAAAAAAAAAATCTATACATAAAGACAACCAGAAATATCTCTGCTTTCGGATGGCGAATCCAAAGTGTAAATATCGTTAAAATAAAAAAACTGACAATTCAGTCGACCTGTATCAAATTAAGTATCCACTTCTTTAAAATTCGCTAAATTCTTCCAAATAAAGCTTAAAAATTGAAACTGATCATTAACATACCACGCATTACCTCAAGAAATCAAATTATGAAGTGGTAGGTTATGACAGCATTTACAAAAAGTATTTCCAACTCATTTCCCCAGAAATCTAATTGATTTAAAAGTTCACCAAAGGTAAAATATTCAATAAAAACTAATAGAGGTATGTATGAATGTATGCATAAACCTTCATTTTATGTTCTGCTTCTCAGTACTGAAGGACAAATTAACCCAAACTTAATCATCAGTATCTATTTGGTTTTCGTCAATATTGGAATTGTTTAGAAAGCAATACAGCACGTACACGCATAATGACAAAAAAACTGATGGATGACAACGTCTTTTAGGCTTCCCTCGAGATTCTTACACACATAAGCATAGGAACTTACCCCAGCAAGAAAAGTTCCTTCGGTTGGTCTGACTGTCTTTGAACGCCACAATACTCTGTTCGGAATCGGCTTTTGGATGTCAAGTGATCGTACGATAGAGTGTGCATAGGTATCCATAAACTAAGTTTAAGAATAACCCATAAGCCTTGCGGCTTTCCGTACGCTACCCATAAGCTTTACGGATTTTCGTAAGGCTTATGGATTATTCTTAAACTTAGGATAGTTATTCTTTTTTGGATAGTTATTCACGCTCTACATTACGTCATACCCATTATTTGATCATTAATGAAAATGAATTGGGGAAAACTCTTGATTAGATAAAGAAATAATACCGTCCAGGCAGTGTTCAGTAACATTACATCACATCATATAAACGGCGGTAAGCTGCACATTGATGATCACCCTTATCTATAGGTTCTTTTTAGTTCCAAAATTAAACATAAATTAGGAACAAGACATTCAACCAAAATAAAAACCTCGAAAAAAAAAAAATAGTGACAAACCACCCGTTGAGATTTTAGCAACACCTGGTGGAATGTCCTGTTTTGTTTCTAATTTCTTCTTGTCTTGATGGATTACTCCTTCATAGCTCATTAATAACAAAAAGTAGGGGAGACATCCGAAAAAACGGCACAGCAGGTTTCTTGCAAATTATGTAAATAATTTTTTATTTCTCAAAATAATGGACAAGTCACATAATTCCAATCCTTACAAACTCTGGATGAGGAAATCGCTTTCACAATACAGTACTTGCTTTTTATGTGTAATTTACTTATAGTTCAAGCTGTTGAGGCAACAATACTTCCATGAATTTATCGGTCACGAGGTAACTGGAAGATCAGCAAATAATGAATTAACTCAATGCTTCATCAAATTTTTATTTTGCCTATCTAATAATAGTCTTGTTGCCCCTAAAATCCAAAGATTATCGTAACAGAACAAAAATTGGGCTCACATAAATTGCAGAGTAAAAAAAGATTAATTTCTAGATATTATGATTCCATCGCCACTTCCCTTTCATATAATCAGGAGCATAAAGCAGTGAGGTACATGGATGCTGGCCTTGTATTTCACAAATACATTCCCTCTTACACTTCCTCCCAAATAATGACTGATCGGTCCTCAACATTTTCTCTAAACGTTCTCGCCTCAACGAAACTTTCGTTTTACCCAACGTTGTCCGAAACATTTCCTCAATTTCCTCGCGGGTTTTGCCTTCTAAATCGAACAACACTTCACGACCATCATCTGCAATACTCCATCTCGTTCGGAAACACAATTCTGGTGAATATTCTTCCTTAATCTTACTATTCTTATCATAGTGTCAAGAATATTAAGTTACGTAATTCACTATCACAGACAACCCACTGCATGTAATAACAAAGAATGCAATAAAAAAAAAAAAAATTAGAAATACGAATACTAAATTTGATAGTAGTATATAATGTCATTTTATGGGAAACCATGTTTTCAAAAACGATAATCCCACAAAAATTGAGGGAATTTCTTAAAACTGACCTAAGAAAGCCTTCCCAAACGGTACAATGCTAATGTTGGTGAACCGCACCAACTGAACATATGGATTATTGTACTGTAATTGAGCCCAATGCCAGAAAACAAATTCTATAACACCTTTATGTCGTATGTCATCTCGTGGAAACTGCTTATAACCGATAGCAAATACCTGAAAACACACAGATCCACAAAATATTGGTAAAATGATAAAGTGAGCATTCCGAGATGACAGGAATCCCTCATAAAATTTGCACTGAACATACAAATGCTTAAGTAATTTAAAATGAAGAAAACCAACCTTTACACGGTCCCTGAATTGTATTGTACCTTGTTGAAGATACAAATACGTACGCCTTAACGGTACTGTGCCAAGCTTAAATGACATCAGAGACAAAGAACAAAGAGAGAGAAAGAGGGACAAAGAGAGAGCTAAAGCGTTTCTAGCACCGTCCAGGCAAGCACTCGAGAACGTTAGTACTGCACTCACAGCCTTTAAATTGCAATATAGTAAATTTTGCTTTGCAACATGAACCTTCAACCCTATTCTGTTACTACAGTTAAATCACGATATGCTATTCAATGTAGATTCTAAATTACGAAACTTTCATATAACAGTTCTTCCCATGACATTTCCGTATTCGTGTAACCCGTTTACTTATATCAGCTGATAACAATTTTTTTTTTTTTAAATAACATATATAAAGAAGTTATGAAATAATATATGAAACAAACAACTGGACAGTGCTGAAATAATTTTTTCCATTTCTTAATTAGTAAATATTAGAAAATTAGTAAAAAAAATATTTTCGTACAGATCTTAGCAAAGATATCTCATTAACAGTGGTAGCGATTAAATGACGCCAAACTCACAATGTATATTATTGAAACTTTAATCGAAATAATAAGACATTACTGACGATTAACACCATTAGAACAAATCAACAGCTAGAGCAATGGCTAATAGTCATGGAGCTCCTAAACTTAACAGAACTCAATCGCTATTATAAGAATTTAGGTAAGATCAACTACAAAATTAGAAGTGCGATTACATCTACAGAACAATTTATCCATACGCAGTAACCACAACTCAACATTATTTGAATAATATGACTGTTTTCTAATAACAGAATATGCAAGAACATCAACTAGCGTTGCAGCAACATTTGGAACCAGATAATCGTGATGGCTTAAAGCAATACTCATTTGACGACATAAATTATTTTCACTACGTCTGTTCAATAGCACATCATCTATCAATTGTAACCAGTAATCCATGTGAGTACAAATATCTGCATGCTCCGAAGCCGTTGGATAAAGAGAAGTCAGTGTACCAAGTAACTTCCAAACTGAAATATGCTCTGACACCTTCGTACCATTTATTTCGGCAACGAATTTTTTATCTGTAAAATAAGGTATTAACAGATGGGCAACAAAGTATATTAATACAATCTTAGCTACAAATTTACATAATCTAATCACCATTAAAAGCAAATGAATAACACATAATTACTTTTTTCTGAAAAACCAAAGGCTCATTCGAAAATTAGATTTGTTTCCTATCCCTATTCATGGAAGGGTATCCCGTTAGAAAACTAAACAGAAATGATAACTGGGAAAAAACCTGCTTCAACAAATCTGAGAGGTAATTTTTCTGTTGAAAATTCTATTTTTCATTGTTAGTATAAAAAAGTTCCATAGCCCTCAAATCCTTTATGCAAGTCACATCTCTGTAATAAAAAATGAGGTAAGAACTTAGAAACTACCGTATTACGCAGTGACGAACATTGCTGATATGCTTACATAGACAAGAAATTACAACTTACTACTAGATGGTTGCAGTTTAACAGTACAACGTGGTGCACTGATTCCATCATTTAATCCTTCAAACCGTATCGAAGTTCCCATAGTAACTTTCGCTAAATTTTTCAACCACAGCTGTTCAATATCGCCAACAAGTGTGATCCTACTCGTGGGATATTTTACGGTTTTGAAAACAGTTAGTGTTGGAGAACAGCATGCACCTATTTCCTCTTTTGATAAAGTATTGACTTTACTCTGGAAAGTAAATCATGTGAGTTCCTGAAAATTTTGTTTTGCTGTCCAAAAATGCGGTAGTTAAAGTTAGAGTTATAAAGTTAACCTTCCTGAATGCAAACTGTTGTTGCAGAACACTAGGGATGGCCTTCGATTCTTTAAATGTTGTCTTAATTTTTACTGAAGATGAAGAACAGTTTACTAATGTCTTATTCAAATCATCAATAAATGCTGTAAGCTGTTCAACGAGTTTCAGCTGATTTCTGTTGATGATTTCCCTCAAACTTTCTTCCATTGCAAATTTGACACCACCTGTAATATTCCCTATCGATTTTCTACATACAATAGGTAAATGGGGACCATAAAAAGTTCTGAAATACTGTGAATGAACTTCCAGAATCCCAGTAAGTTATACAGCAACTGTAAAACTACCACAGTGAATATAATAATATAACTCGAAATGGTAGGATTAAGTAACATACCACCAGTAGGGAGAACAGCATGATAATTCTTTACTGGATACATCACGTCAGAAGGACGCATATTTTCATGAAAGTTCAGATACGGTCTAACAGCATACATCTGCTGCATCGTTCTCGAAAAGACAACCTAAAATGATTATCTTCCTAATCACAACAAATGTAAAGAAACAGCGCTTGAATGAAAATGAGAACGAATCCACACCAAACTCTCTGTATGCCAACCGTCCACATATCATCATTTCCGAAACAACCACGGACTTTTGCAGCTTTCCGAAACTGACCTCCCTAAAACTTATAAAAAGAATCCTGAGTCGCCGTACCATTCAGGACTTTTTTCGAATTTAATCTTTCCCAAAGAGATTATATAAGTATGCTCCGATTATCTTCTTACTTCTCTCCCTCCCTCCTCCTCCTGTTTGACATAAGCAATGTTCAAGCAAAGTTCTATAAGACGTGAAAAAGTGCCAAGTCTTAATTCATTTCGTAGTGAAAACGACTCATTCTCACTGGCGATGTTTCTGAGGCACTGCATCATCTGCTCTCAGATCATTTTTGGAGCAGATAAGAAGTTGAAAGTTAGACTTAGATTGAATTTAGTAGAGTCACGTGGGGCGAGTTCATACTTCTACCTTTTTGTATTTTGCATATTAACATGCATGTGGTACGCGTTTATTTTTTTGATAGCTATATATACAAATACTTATTCATATCTGCATCATGCTTCAGGGTTAAAACGAATTCTCAAGTGGGCCATTTACAGCAAATGAAGATGACTGTATCCAGTTTGTAGATACCTGAACTACAGAGTTCATTTTGTCATTTTACTCTCTTGCGACATCTTATTCTGAGAGACTCGTATTTTAATTTTTAATATAAGTTTCGGTTTCGTCTCAGCATTTCTTCGAGGGTACGATATTACGTCAAACCAGTTTATTAGCACCATATTTGTTCAGAGACAGCACTCTCGAACGCTTCAGTTTTCAAGATAAAACCACTACAAGAAAAATCTGTACATAGTAGCAAGTGAAAAAATGAAAGGACACTTCAAATACAAATTATTATATTTCTATGTGTCTTCCTGTTACAAGTTTTACATTTCGTATTTTACATTATCGAATAGCCTTTAATGTAACTTGTCATAAAAGGCAGACATTTATTTAAAAATGAAGGGAAAACTTTGGACCACAGTGAAATGAATAAGACCTGTGGCACCAATCCGAATCTTACATCACACAAGAACATAGAGGGTGTAATTTGTTGAGCAAATCATTTTCCATCGGCTTTCACCAAAACTTTGAAGGACAACTATAGCCGTCCATGCAGCTTATTTCAAGAAAGCAGAGAAAAGTTAAGAAGGAATCTTCCAGATAGAAGCACTATTCCAGAATTATAACGTCGTAATAAAGAGATCGTCTTCAGGAGCTTCTTGTGACGGTGCGGGTCTCAGAAGCGCCCGCGCCGAATATCTGTTGAAGTCTCGTACTTCGCAACGCTCCATACCAAGGTGTTCCATGTAACGTGCATCTGCCAGTGTTGCCGCTGCACTTTCAAGCTCAGATTCTTCCAGTGAATAGGCTAAAAGATACGGTAATTGTTTCTGGTATTCAAAAGATGTGGAGAATACAAAATCACTTTTTTTTTCGACAATGACACGTTACCTTCTGCAATTTCTCGTCGTGCCGCTTCAACAACACGCTCATCCATGTATCTACCCAATGCCAAGGCTTCACCAACAAGACGTCCAGTTAAGCCCTCTTCATTTCTATCTGGCCTTAACACTGGTCTGTTTGAAAGAGGTAGCCGAACTGATTTCCCATCTGGTGCTGGTCTAAATGACAATTAGGTATCCGCTTAGCAATCTGAACTATTTCGGAATTTCTACGGAAATTACCATAAAGTAAAAATTAGCTAAGGTTAGGTTACCTGTATGTGCCTTCAAAAGCTTCACTTATATCGGCTGGCACACCAGCAATGGCCATTGCTTGATTTCTTGCTAGCATGAAAGGTTTTCTTAAGCCTTTCCCAGGCCTACCATTGTTCATCCACGTCTCATCATTTCGTAGTCTATTCGTGTCTCTCCTTTCGCCCCATTCCTCTTCTTCATCTGTATCCAAAGGCATGCTGTGAACAGAATTTATTAATTAACGTTGTAATGTTTGATCAATATGAAAAGTTATTCTAGACTGTGGCTTTTAGAAATTCTAAATGAATTCAAACAAACCTTCTGTTGGCCAGTATATAATGACTTTCAGCATTAAGAGCCAATCGTGACACAAGTAAATCATTTTCTAATAATTTTTGATTAAAGGATATATTTGGAGAAGGTATTTGAGGTAGGCGTCGTTGTAAAACACCACCGTTGGAACGTGCCGAAGGTGGAATATTGATTGAACAGTTAGAAGTTAAGTGGCCATGGGCTGTTACTGACACCATGTCATTATTACCATACAATGAACGTGTTGGTGATAGTTGATTGTTGGCTGAAATTATTAATATCTTTCAAAAGCATAGTTATGCTTCCTGCTACAGGGAAGGACTAATAATCACTAGCGAGTAAATGAGCTTGTTTTAAAATGTATCTTTTCAACAAATTTCAAAACTTAGTGTCACCAAAATTCGACAGCAGGTAGACAGTTGCAGTGTATATCAGTTGTACTTTTCTAATGTTTTGATAAAAAAATATCGCACTTTATATGTGATTTAAATTTACTTATATTTAAATTTAACTGTGAAGTTGAGATCTTTCAAAAATACATGTTACATACGTACTGATTTTTTAAATTCAAAAAATAAAAGTTTGATGCAAGTTTAGAAAGCACACCAGTCATTGAAAGTGATCGAGTTGTTCGGTCTTCACGATAAATTTGATTCGCTCGGGCCGAACCACCGAGTGCCGAAATGATGTTGTTGAAAAGTGAGTGTGGACGCTGGAAATGAATTTTCATTTTTTGTTGAAGTTAAAGCTCATTTTCTCAACAGTAAAGTCTTCCCAAAAAATCCAAAAGAGACCCAATGTGCAAACAACAAAATTTTAAAAAACCAAATGAAAACAACTCTGTGTTGAGGTTCTTCGACGTCTAACGTGAAGTCAGTTTCCAAATTGCCAGAAATTGCTCGCTTTAATTCTGGTCCAATTTCATGCAGCGTTCGCAAGCCTGCTTGTAAAGCCATTGCTTGTGAGGTCTGTTGCGGCACTATTCCTTAAATTAAGCATAAATCTTATTGTATACGAACTCATCTAATCATTAAAAACTGTAATAAAATCGCTTTTTCCTCAGTTTCATATCACGGAATTTTTCTGATCCCTTATGCTCACAAAAATTTTTGTCTGTTACTTTATCTCATGAAGAAAACAATATTAATGGCTGCTTACCTTTGGATTCCAGTTCTTTTCTTTTTTTAAATCTACGAAAATAATCTTGAATCAGAAAAGTGGCATAAAATTTTCCAACAGTAACGTCATCGTCTCCTGAAGTGAAGGGAACTTTTTCAGGGGTAGAATTCAATTTTTAATTCAAATTTCAACATTTTTTGAATAACAGTACCCAAAAATATTACGTTTCAATAGTTGAAGAGAAATACAACATCGTTTTATAATTTTATATTCCGTATAATTGCTTTTTATACCAATAGATGGTAAGCAACAACGACGTTTTTCTAATAAAATATTTAGGAATTTGATTTTAGAATAAAATGCAATAATAACATAAAGTTTTAATCCAAAATTCATTAAACTGTAGTAAAAGCATCACTTCCTGCAGGTGGCACTACTTCATCCAACATTTTCTGTGGGGTACGCTTCCAAATTCGACGGATGGCTGATCGTAATTGTTCATTTACTTCGTCGATATTACCTTCTGTGTAAATTTTTAAATTTGTTCGTACCAGAGCAAACAGTGTTGCATTAAAACACACTGTGCCATCTGAATTCAGTGGCATATTCATTGACACCAAACGCTGCAACCTTCCCAATGTAATACTTAATAAAGTATGGTAAAAAAATTTATATGAAGTTGAATTTAGCTGTGAATTCAGCTCTGGCCAACTATATAATCGTTATCTCATCTAAAATACTCTTCCCTCAAAATATTCTTTTGCGACTGCTGCTTTTCTCATAAATTTGTAATATAAAACACTTCCCTTTCAATCAAATGACGCTGGCAAAAAAAGAAACAAATGCAAGCTAATTCAAGCAAAATGATTTGGATTAGGTAAATTACAAATAAGTAATAGTTAACGAAGGAGCTCTACTAAAAAAGTTCAAGCGCGGATAAGTTGAACATGAAATCACTACCAAAGTATTTATATTGTAGCGAGCAGTGAAATAATTTTGGTGACCTTTTGGGTAAAGATCAATGAAATTGAAGGTTACTAAATTTGGATTTCATAAAAAATACCTTGCAAGCAAGTCGGTGTGGACAAAGTTTACCAAATCCTAATGGTGGTGAAATTTTACGTAACAGAGTAACGACATCCAAATGCTTTATTCGTCCTTTTGCGTCTGGATCATATTCTGACCATAATCGGACAAATTCTTCTAGGTGATGTGGTCCAAGGATACTCCAATCTCGAGTTAAGTAGTCGAAATTATCCATAATAACTGCCACAAACAAATTTATGACCTTTAAAAGAGCTTGTGCAAAAAATTAGAGTTAAAGTTAAATTCATTTTTTTAAAGTTAAACGTTTCATTTTTACAAGTTAAGATTACCAAGAAGGAACAAAGCATGAAGAATGAGATGAAATACGGATAGGCGAAATCCACACCACATTTCGCATCTGGATTTTGCTTGTAGTCATCACTAGCCGGATCACATTTCACTTCATCTCTGTCCGAACAAGAAAGCATTATCTCTTGCCAAGCTTCACCGGTTGCCGACCTATTACAATTTTATACATTAGACTTCCATATTTCTACTAATCATGCTGAGAGAATTCAACTTTCGATAAATTAAATCTGGCTAAAATTGGCAAAAAAATACCGAAAAAGGACAAGTACAGCAGCAGGAAATGTGTGAAAGTTGTTGTTGCGATGAATATGCGTCTCATCATTTAATGCTACTTTCCCAAATACCTAAAAACACTGATTACTAACAGGATTTATTGATTA